CTTTTCTACTTGGCCAATTCCGCTTTTAAGGAGTTGTTTTCTTCAGTGGATTTGACCAATTCTGTTTTTTCCATTTGACCAGTTCTATTTTTTAAGGCATTGTTTCCTGCAGTCACTTTTTGTGCTTTCATTTCCAGGTCATTGACACTTCCCCGCCCCCCCCCCCGTAATTCTCTTGCATAGCTCTCATTTCTTTTCCTAATTTTTCTTCTACTTCTCTTACTTGATTTTAAAAATCCTTTTTGAGCTTTTCCAGGAGGACTTTTTGGGCTTGAGACCAATCCATATTGCCCTTTGAGGCTTTGCACTTAGACATTTTAACATTGTTCTCTTCTGGTTTCATGTTTGGATCTTCCCTGTTGCCCTAGTATCTTTGTATAGTCAGGGCTCTTTTTCGTTTTTTGCTCATTTTTAAAAGTTGAACTCTGCTCCTGTGGTATAAGGGACACTGTCCCAAGCTTCTTGCACTGGGGGCCAAGCTCCTGTGCTGAGGCGTCTGGGGCTGGCAGCTTGCCCACTGTGCTAGAGTGGCCTGCCCTAGTTGCATCTGTTGTGCCCTGCTACACTGGGGCTGGAGGCTTCATACATGGCCTGCTATACGGCTGACCTTCTAAGCCAGGACTGCGGGGCCTCAGATGCTGATCTGTGCTGTGGCTAAGAGCCTCTCACCTGCTTACCCAGATACCGCCCGAGCTGGGCTCTGTTCCCTTTTTACCCAAGTCAGATAGACCTTTCTTGAAGTCCTTCTAAGTTGTGTTGGGCTAGAAAATTGTTTCACTCTTGTCTTTTTGTGGATTCTGTTGCTCCAGAATTCTTTTAGGGGTTTGATTTAATGTTTCCAAGGGAAAATGGGGAGAACTCAAGCAACTTTCTGGCTTCTCTCTACCATCTTGGTTCTCCATGGACAGTATTGGTGTGCTATTGGTCACAAAGAGTAGGACACAACTGAATGACAACAACAACAATGCTATTTAGTAGAAGGGTTTTTAATTTTTTAATGAAGTGGGAGAGAAAATAATTTTTTAAATTAAAAATTAATATTAAAATTTTAAAGTTGGTATTGATAAATGGAGCAATTAAAAATATGTTTTGAGGGGGATGTTTGGATTAGTGATAGAACTAACTGTTTGGAGATAAGAAGATACTTCTTGAGGGCCAGAGACTATTTTGCTTTTGTCTTTGTGCCCCGATGCCTGGCACTTTGTTTTTCTTTTTGGTCCAGACTTGTGATTTCATCTTTGTAGGAATTTCTAGATAAGGAACTTCTTTTACCAGTTCTGATCGGTAGTTTCTCTGCAATTTGTAGTCTTCAGTTGCCTGGGGCACTGGGATGTTGAGGGTTGCACAGTCAGTATGTGTGAGGGGCAAGAGTTGAGCCTAAATCTTCCATATCTGGCACCAGCGCTCACTATTCACCGCATTGAACTACTTTACAACTGTGGCCTTAATAAACTCTTGTCGACTGCTCAGTTGAGACAAGGAAACCTGAAAAGACCCTTCCTTGTGAAGTGATTATAAAATGAGAACAGTGTTATACATTACATTATATACTCTATTATGTATGTACTGACTGTAACCATATGTGAGTTTGGAGGAGGGGCTTGCCGAGGTCGTCTAAGATGGAGACACTCTGCATCCCCTACCTCATGGGTGATGGTCACCTTGTTAAATTGGCTGTATAACTAGAAATACCGTGTTTTTTAAACTGGCCAGACTGAGACGGCGTGCTGTTTTCTGGCTTGGATTCTTGCTTGCTGCATCCAGAGGTTGAAGATTCATTTCATCCACAGAGTAAAGGCTGTGAACTGAATGAGGGAGAAGTGAAGGACTGATTTCCTCTGCTCCCTCATTTACCCCAGCTTCAAGAAATGGGCTTGTAGGTGATGCAGTGGCTAGAGCACCGGCCCTGGAATCAGGAGGACCTGAGTTCAAATCTGGCCTCAGACACTTGACACTTACTAGTGTGTGACCCTGGGCAAGTCACTTAACCCCATTGCCTACCAAAAAAAAAATTGGGCCTGGAAGTTTTTATTTCTGTTAAATTTCATTGTTCAGTTTCTCAGTTTTAGATTATCCAGTTGGACCCACCAGACCTGAGAGTTCAAACCATGGTGATCTTGGAGCCAGTATTTCAGTCAGTATAGTTCGGCCAGCCAGCATGGCAAGAAAGACCAGAAAAGCCAGGGTCCCTCAGACTTAAGTCCTGGGTGGGCTCGGGGTGGAGAGATGGACTTGGAACTGGGACTTTGTTTTATAGGAACCAAGCTAAACGATGAACCTACTCTCCCTCCCCCCATAGACTGAGGTGTGGCAAAGGGGGAGGAAGTTGTTGCTGTTCAGTTTTTTTAGTCATGTCCAATTTTTTGTGACCCCATTTGGGGTTTTCTTGGAAGAGATACTGGAATGATTTTCCTTTTCCTCCCCTAGCTCATTTCACAGATGAGGAACTGAGGCAAACAGGGTTAAGTGACTTGCCCAGGGTCACACAGCCAGTGAGTGTCTGAGGCCAGATTTGAACTCAGGAATCCTGACTCCAAGCCAGGCACTAACCAGTGCACTACCTAGCTGCCCTAGGGGAGGAAGATTAAGCCCCAAGTGTTGGGGGCATAAGTTTGTATATTTGCGATTAGATCTTTTAAAGTAGATACTCCTTCTTAACCACTGTTAAGTGGTTAAATGGAAGTGAGATGCAGGCGACCACCCGTAAACTAGGAAACACTATTGATTAGAGAAATTCAAATGAAAACAACTCTGAGGTATCACCTCACACCTATAAGATTGGTGAATATGATACAAAAGGAAAACGTTGGATGTTGGAGAGGATGTGGGAAAATTGGGACACTAATGCATTGCTAGTGGAGTTTGTGAACTGATCCAACCATTCCGGAGAGCAATTTGGAACTATCCCCAAAGGGCTATAAAACTGTGCATGCCTTTGGATTTAGCAATACCACTATTAGAGCTGTATCCCAAAGAGATTTTTTTTCTTTCTTTCTTTTTTTTTAGTGAGGCAGTTGGGGTTAAGTGACTTGCCGAAGGTCACACAGCTAGTACGGGTCAAGTGTTTGGTCTGAGACCGGATTTGAACTCAGGTCCTCCTGACTTCAGATCCGGTGCTCTATCCACTGTGCCACCTAGCTGCCCCCCAAAGAGATTTTTTTAAAAAAAGGAAAGGGACCTATATGTATAAAAATATTTATAGCAGCTCTTTTAGTGGTGGCAAGGAACTGGAAATTGAGGATTCATGTGTACTACTACTAGCACTTTTTTGTGGTACCAAAGAACTGAAAGCTAGGAGGGTGCCCATCACTTGGGAAACAGTTGAACAAGTTATGATACATGAATATATCAGAATTATGGAATATTTTTGCAGTATAAGAAATAATAAAGGATAGATTCAGAGAAACCTGGGATGATTTATGTGAACTGATGCAGAATAAAGTGAGCAGAACCAGGGAAATTATACAATGACTATAACATGTTAAAGAAAAACAACTTGGAATCAAACATAATTGAATTTAATACCAGTAAATATAAATGAGAATATTGTATAGCCCCTGCAGAAAAAACAATAGCCTACAACTTTCTTTAAAAATTCAAGCTACCTCTTTCATAGGTATGATCCTAACAAATGAGTAGTCAGACCAAATCATTAAAAAAAATTAAAAAAATAATAACTAGAGGTACTATGCACAGCTGTGGCTATGGAGAGAATTTTTAACCAAGGGATAATGGTGATCCATAGAAGAAAAAATGGACAATTTCAATTTGTGGTAGGAAAGCAGTTTCCTGATGTAGCTTCCTAGTTTGGGGGCATAACAGGTCCCAGCCTCATATAGTCTCTGCCTCTCAAGACTCAAGTCACTATATCCTAGTGACTGACCAGATATGTTTCCAGATGGAGACAAGGGAAGAGCCACATCCAGAGAAGTTAAGTGAATATCCTTGCTGTGTTAGGGGAAAATAAAATTCTTTTTTTGTTAAATATTCAGTGCCATTTTGTCTCATCAAAAAACCTAAACAAAAAGGGCACTGGCTTTGGAGCTGAGCCTACAACATTCATGGTTAACAGGATCAGATGGTAGGATACTGCCTGACTCCTTGTCAGCGCCCTGCTGAACATGTATGGGGAGTCCTCTCTTTCTGGGACTGGCAATAGGTTCCCACCGTTAATTCAGTGGGTTCTGAAGAAAGCTGCCCAGGAGTGTAAAGAAAGCACTACTGACCGTGCTGCATAGAGTGAACTGCTTTCAGACTGAAAGTAAACTAAGCCGGTACTTATAGTCAGTAAGCACAAGGGCCGTCAGATGAAGACCTCTTTCCTGATGAGGGTGGGGAAGGAAGGTCCCTAGCTAGGAGCCCAACCTAGAGTCGGGCTTTGGTTTCCTGCTGAGATAGGACCCATGAGCCTGGAGACATGGAGCAGACTTAAGGCAGCAACTACACAAATATATGTGAACAAGAGCCATTTCCCAATAGATTATCCAAGGATATGAACAGGCAGCTTTGAAAAAAGGAACTGCAGCTCTCAATAACTTCATGAAAGAGTACTTCAGATCAATAATAGAGAAATACAAATTAAATCACCTCAGAGGCTAGCCTCAAACCAGTCAGCTTTGTAAAAGGCAAATCGGTAAGCTTTGGAGGGGTTGTGAGAAGACAAATACACTAAGGCATCAGTAAGGAAGTTGTGAATTGGTCCAACCATTCAGGAACAGCAGAAAATCACGAAACTGTACGTACCATTTGATCCAGTAATACCACCACCAGGCATCTACCCTAAGAAGGCCAAAGACAAGAAAAGCTCCAAATATAGATACATAATACATATGGGTGTGTGTATGTTTATAGCAGCTTTTTTTGTAGTAACAAGGAACTGAAAACAGCAGGTGCCTATCCATTGGAGAATGGCTATACAAATTGTAGGAGCATTCAGAATATGCCAGGTAGATAAGGGATTAATAGCCCCAGAAAAAAAAAATTGCCACTTTCCCTGGTACCTGGACAAAGGATGGATTCCATTTCTTTCCATGTCATGTACTGGATAGGGCCCTTGAACTTGCCCAGGCTCAGTTCCCTGGAAATGAAGTCTTTGGGGGTTAATACTTCCATTCCTTTTTCCAAGCTGCAAGGGAACACAAACCACCTCTTGACTTAGTCATCAAAGGCCCAGGTAAGGACAATGAAAACACTAAAAAGTAATACTTACCTCTCTAAGAAGGCTGTAATGTCCTAGGAGAGGAGAAGAGAGACAAACATCAGCTGCAGTTCTGTTGGTGATGTTGGCCACCACCAGAATTTGGTCAGGTCTAAAGAAACAAAAATGGCCACCCCATTCCCATTTATGCTGCTTATCATAAATTCATAAGCTTTTACTGTTCCAGAAACATCTGTTATTTTCCAGTCTGGCCTAGAAGTTTAACCTGTTTCCTGAGAATCCCCCACTATACAGAGCAAATGGGACAACAACTCATTAGTTTCCCTTTGAAGGCTCCCTCAGTTAGCAGTGTACTCAAGGAAGTAATTCAAAGCTCAGACGCCCTCTGTCACCAGCAGCCAGTCTCATCCTTCTTGACCTATCTGCTACATTTGATGCTATTGACCACTCTCTCTTCCTGGATATTCTCTCCTCTGGGTTTTTATGACACTACTCTCTCCTGGTTCTCCTGCCTGTTTGACCTACTCCTTCTCAGTCTTCTTTGCTATCTCATCATTGATATCCAATCCTCCAACTATGGGTATTTCCTAAGGCACTGTGTTGGTCCCCTTTATCTATCTATATTCTCTCTCTCTCTTTCTCCCTCTAACCTGGTGACCTCATCAGCTTCCATGGGTTTATCATCACTTTGCCAATGACTTAGAGATCTGTGTATCCAAATCCCGAGTTCCTTCTCTTTACCACTTCACCAACAACCTACTAGATGTTGCAAACATTCTGTCCTGGAGACCTCTCAAAGTCAACTTGTCTGAAACAGAACTTATCATTCCCCCTCTCAACCCTGCCTCTCTTCCATATTTCCTTATTTTTTTCTTTCAAAGGCACTGCCATTCTTCTGGTTACCCAAATCTGTAGCCTTAGTATTACCCTTGACTCCTCATTCTCCTTTACCCCACATATCCAGTGCTGCCAAATCTTGACATTTCTGTCTCAACAACTCTCACATTCAAACCCTTCTCTCTGCTCACCCAGCCATTGCCTAAGTTCAGGGCCCTTGTCACCTCTCAGCTTCCTGTCCACTCTCCTTTCCCTCAAGTATCTCGGCACTCCAGTCCATTCTCTATGCTGCTCTCAAAAATGATTTTCCTTAAGCATAAATCTGACCATGCCACTCCTCTACTCAATCAAATTCAATGGCTCCCTATTGCCTCTAGGATAAAATATAAACAGCTTAGCTTTCAAAACCTTTCACGATCTGATACCAACCTATCTTTCCAGCCTTTTTGTAGATTTCTCCCTGTCCTCTACAGTCCAGCCAAACCGGCTTTCCCGGTGTCTGACATGTATTCCATTCTCATTTCTATGTCATAGAATCCCCTTTCCACATGAAACCTTTCCTGATCCCCCAACTGTTAGCTTCCTCTCTCTCTCTAACTACTTTGTATTTAACTATTTGTGTTTATTTGTATTTTTCCTCTTCCTGTCTATTGTGTATGTACATATTATAGGTATTTGTTGTCTTCTGATTAAAATATAAGCCACTTGACAGTAGAGATTGTTTTGTTCATTGTATTTGTATCACCAGCATCTTGGATTGTGCCTGGCACGTAAAGGCACTTAATAAAAACTTATTGATTGATTGATTGGTTGGTGAGTGAGAACCATTACACAGACACTAGCCAAGGGATAATAACTCTTATAGATAGGAATATGACTAGCATTGGCTGACTGAAGGGTTCAAAGGGCATTCATTTTGAGTCATTCTCCATTATTCTCCTTCAAGGGATGGAGAATGAGTAGGAGCCAGGAAGTTCAATTTGGTGCATCCTGATTTGTGAAGGTATTAGGAACAAGCATGTAAAATTCCTTTAAACAAAAATAACAATGAAAATTATAAATCAATACATTTAAAATTATTATTAATGAATTTGGGTTTCCTATCTTCATAACTAGGAAGATGTTACCAAAGCACTGGCTTAGGTACAAAGGAGAAAGCAGTGACCTGATTTTATTCTAGAAAATTACACAGCTACTGCTGTGGTTATTTTAGTGAATTAGAGGAGGCATGATCCTTTTTTGGAGTGTCTATGATTCTGTGACTTTTTACCTAAAGCCTGCCCTAGATCATTCGATATTTTCCCTTTGAAGAAAAGAGCAAGGACTTTAATTATACCTCACCTGTGACTATGTAGAGACTTTGATTGGCCTAGGATTTGCCACTGAGATAAAACTTGCCAATTAAATAAATAACGGAATGATGTATTAGTTTTACTAAACTACATTTTTCCCCCAGTTAGGTGATGTAGTGGATAGAGCTCTGGGCCTGAAGTCAGGGAGACCTGAATTCAAATCTAGCCTCAGATGCTTACTAGCTGTGTGATTCTGGGCAAGTCACAGTTGTTTAACCTCTGTTTGCTTCAGTTTCCTCATTGGTAACATGACAGTATTAATAGCACCTACGTCCCAGGGTTGTGAGGATTATATGAGATGATGATTCTAAAGCACTTAGCACAGTGTCTGGCATATAGTAAGTGTTACCATCATCATCATCAACAACAATCACCATAACAATGGTCTCAACATGCCTCAGATCACAAATGCTTTTGGGGTTACACAACTAACGTGTACCACACTCTCTTATAGAAGCCCTCTATCATTGCTCCGGTAAGCACTGACTCTGTCCCCTGTATATAGTTACACTGGTCATCCCTGGCCACATATTCAAACTAGTTGAGTCTCCCTTATGCAAAGGAAGAATCAGGTTGTTGGATTTATTTACTATATCACATGACATGTACATCACATCAGAAAACACCATTTAGGTGCTTTCGTTCCAAGAGGAACAAGGCAGAGATAAACAGTCACAGACTCGTCAATGCTCACCAGTGTATGAGTCTCAGCCACCCTCATCAGGCTTGTTTTGTCTCCCTCAATTTGGCAACCCCCTCAGTCTCTCCCTTTTTGCTGCTTAGCTAGTGAGTCTTACTGCAAGGAAGTCGAAAGGATTATGCTGTTCCATTTGCACTTGGATGTCCACCAACATTTCCTTAGCGAGGACACATTGCTCCTGTAGCTGGTTCAGGCTCCTTTCCATCTCATCATCCAGTTTTTTCCCTGTCTCCTGAAGCTCATCCAAAAGTTCCTTCTCTTTGTTGTGCAGGAACTGGTGCAGCTTTAGAAACTCCAGGGAGATGTTTTGCTGCAGATGTAGCTTGTTTTCCTGGAAACCTCCATCACAGACATGGTCATTACTGAGACTAGTGTGTGGGGATGGGGCCCCCTATGCCCAACACTCAGATAACTCAGGGAACACAGAATAAAGAGATGTATATATGACTGACTTGCTGAGTTTCTGTACCTACCCATGTATATAGGTACTTTGATAGAAAAATTCCTTCCTGCCCCTAACAGAGTATATCATTCCGTGACCTGAGGTACCAGTTTTATTTGGACATTCAGAAGCTGCAAAACTGTCCCTAAAAAGGTAGCAGTGCCATGTGGAATAATTATATACCAAAAGGAGCAACAGTTCAGCAATCACAGGTGTGGATAATTATTGCTACTGCTGTGGCTGTATAACCTTGGGAAATTCTGGACCTTCGTTTCCTCATCTGCAAAGTGAGAATACTGGACTAACCAACTTCTGAGGTTCCTTCCAGTTCCCATGGTCCATCTTTTGGTGTGACTGAAAGACATAGGCCTCTACCAGGAAGATGATACGTTATCCCAGAGGCCAGCCATCTGGCCCAATCTCCTCATTTTATAGGTTAGGAAGCTGAGCCTCGAGGATATTCAGTGACTTGTCTAAGGTCACACAGGTGGTATCAAAGTCACAAATAGAACCCAGGTCCTCTTGACACCAGAGTCAACATACTTTCTGCTACATGTTGCCTCCAGGCTCCTGCCTGGTCATATAATTGCAACTTTGGGGTCGTGAGAAAACTTTAGGAATTCCTGCTATTCCCAACTCAGTAATCCTAAAATAACTATCCTAATTGAGGGGTGCCACTTCTCTTCCAGTTGCAGAAGACGGTGGAGATCAGAAGTCACAGGAGTGGCCTACAAAGGTGACTACAATTGCTGAACTGGGAGATGGTATAGAAAATTCTCTAGTTGCTCTCTAGGGTCTGATTGTTGCTATCTATTGTTTCTCTTTTCTACCTATCACCATATTCCTTTTTTGAGATACTAAGAACTAAAGATGACTCTATGTCCTAAAATGTTTAGTGAAGAAACAGTTTCTCTTTCATATTCCCCTAATGTTGTGGGGTGAACAGTTAGCATACACTGCCAACTTCCTACCAATTAAATGTCAGTGGTGACATCTAATTCATTGTCTAGGAACCTCGACTGAGAACAAGAGGTCTTGGAAGCAGGGCTTGAGAGTGTAGCAGAGGCAACAGCATTGTCCCGCTTTGGAGAAGCTCACAGATACAAAGAGAAGAGGGAAAAGCCAGCAAGTCCAGCACTTTGTACCTCTCCTAAAGCTCTTATCACATTCTACTTTCTAGTCTAGTGGTTGGTGCATTTGTATTAGCAGTAGAGAATAATATAGAAGGGGCAGCCTGGAGTCTTCCTGAGTTCAGATCTGGCCTCAAGACATTTTACTAGCTGTGTGACCCTGGACAAGCCACTTAACCAGGTTTGCCTCAGTTTTCTCATCTGTAAAATGAACTGGAGAAGGAAATGGCAAGTCACTCCACTATCTTTGCTAAGAAACCCCAAATGGGGTCACGAAGAGTAGGACATGACTGAAACAACTGAACAACAACAACAATAATGTGGAATGGGATAATACATATAGTATCTCTCAGATTGTGGTAAGAAAAGTGCTTTGTAAACTATAAAGTATATATTACTAGATTGTAAGCTCCTTGAAGATACCATCTCTTATTCATCTTCATTCTCTTTATAGGACATGGCATCTATCTGCTCATAATAAGTCCTAAGTAAAATGTTGTTGAATTGATGGATGAAAGAAGAGATCACAGAGGCCTCAGATGATCCACAGAGGGAAGGAAGGTAACTGCCCCAGAGGGAAGGAAGGAATTTTTCACTGAAAATAAAAGAATCTTTAGGGAATTTCCTTCTGGGTCCCTGATAGTTGACATCTTATAGGTAAGGAGAGAGAGACCAGATGGAGAATATTTCCAATATATCCACATATCCAAATAATCATAGCAGTAAGCACATCAAGAGAAAGGCACAACTGTTCCAAGTTATTGACAAGCTGTCAGAGACCTCACTCTAACCTCAGTCCAAGGCTCTTGACCCACTCCTTAGTATACATTCCATCTCAATTTCCCAATCTTCTAGCCTAGCCCTTGGGATGATCTAAGTGGAGGGAAGGTACACAATACCTCAACTTTCCCACTAACATAAACACTATCCCATGGATTCTAAGAGATTATGTCCAGATTTTGTCCCATAACTACACAGTGCCTTACCTTATGAGCACAGATTGCCTCCTCTTGCTGGCATTTTAACCTCTGCAATTCTTTTAGGCTCGCTTCCACCCGAGCTTGGTTGATGGTCATCTTCCCCTGGGAGCATTGGATGAGGTTATCCTCCAACAAGTTTGAGAGGAAAGGGGACTAACAGAAGAATATCGCCTCAATGCCCAATATAGTGTATAAGAAAATTACTAACCATAGACTTTTCATGAAACTGGGAATAAGTGAAAAAAGGAGCAATAGAGGGGAGTTTTGGGGTGTGATAGCTTCTCATTGCATCCCTACTCCCATCCTCACAATAGATCTTACTCCTCCCTTAAATTCTGAGCCAATAAAGCACATAGTAACAAATAAATACCTGCTTATAGACAAGGGGAATGTACCAGAGCTACTTCATTGACATGAGTAGATCCAAGAAGGGGAACTTTCATGATGATTTGTATTTTTTGAGCATTTTGCTTGCAAAAGCACTTTAGTACTTGTTTATGTTATTCCTCTAAAACTCAAGGTCAGGGGAAGAGGGGAAGGAAATATGTCAGAGTCCTATATACAGCATATTTCATGGTTTTTCCCTAGGGATGGTTCATGATGCGGGGCTTACTTACCGCGTAGATACGAATAGCTTCGGGTATCTGCATAAATTCCTGTGAATGTCGAACATCCTTACACTGGAAGCAAGCCAACTTCCCTTCCTGCTTACTGAATAGCTTCAAGTTCTCACCATGCTCCTGGCACTGAGGTGGACGTTGGGTTAGAGGCAGATCCTTGATTCTCAGCACCAGTTTCTCTAGCACCATATTGGGAATAAAGCTCTTGTTTTGACATGGTATGAGGCACTCGGGGCATTCTGGTTTCTGGCGGTGCCTCCATGACTTCTCAATGCATAGTTTACAAAAGTTGTGGCTACAGCTCAGCATCACAGGCCTATGAAACCAGTCATGACATAGTTGACAGTGCAGCTCCTTAGTGATGTCCTCCATATTTGCTATAGTGGTTGGAGTGGAGAAAGTGATAATCTTGCCCATTTCTTTGACATTGACATTCAGTAAAGCCTTGGGACAACTGTTGACAGATTGGTCAGATTTCTTTTTCTGTTGGGAAGGGAATAGCTGTAATAAGTTCTTTTTTCTTAACTCTCTATAAGAAGTGCCGAAGACATAACAGAAAATCTAGATTACAGGGGACAGATATGCATTTCTAGCCAACTAACTGTGAGACCTAGGAATAAAGAACTGGAAGCCAAGAATAAGGCTGGAAGAGCTAAACTGCTTAGCCATTCTAGCCCCCCAAACACCATTGAAAAGGAAACACACATAACCACTGAGGTGAGCTCCATTTGGTTCTTCATATACTGTCTCTGATAACACTTGTGTAGGAAACTATGGTCACCACTACCATCTGCTTCCAAAGGAAGCAGTGAGCAATGGTGATGGGAGATAGGCAGTGGAGAATAGATAGTGGCAATTTTTACATTCTAAAGGAAAAATCTGTGAAGGAGGGAATTGAAAGGAACACATTTCAAATGGTAGAATTTCAGGTACCAGTAGGGAAAATTCAATTTAATAAACATTTATTAAGTGCCTAATATACCAAAGGAACTTTGCTAGATGCTTGGAATACAGTGCTAGAAATGACAGCCATTTGGAGGAGTGATGAATTTCTGGAACCAGTAAAATCATATTACTTAAGTGCTTGTATACAGTGAATAGTCTCAATGGGACTAGGGTTCAAAAATCAAAAGTGAAAGAAGAAAAGAAGAGGAAGAAGGATAGAAAGAGACCTTCCGCACACCCAGGCTGGGAAACAGATTCTGTGTGTCCATCCTCTTACCCTCTGTTTCCCATCTGCAGCTCTGCTTGGTTTCTACTCCTTGGAATGAGATACCCACCATCCTCTCAACTGAGAGCCTCATCTTATACCATACTGAAAAAATGGAAACCATTCAACAAGAGCTCTTCCCTCCTCACCTTCCCTCATCTTCTGTGTCCCACTCATATACTCATACACTCATCTTCCTCCATTATCTTTTCTTTTTGCTACTACACCATCCCACTCTACCCCCTCCCCAAGGCAGACTCCTCAGAGTGCATCTGTAATCCTGTTACATCTTCAGCAGATTGCCTCATCTATCATCCCCAGTCCCTCTTTACTATTCAGTCTCTCCCATCTGACCATCCCTGTTGCCTACAAACATACTTGTCTTTTATCCTTAAAAAACAACCCTCATTTCTTCCTATCACTCCTGCTAGCTAACATCTTCTGTTTCTAATCCCCCTTTCAGGTAAATTCCATTTCTTTTTCTCTCACTCAGTTCTAAACTCTGTAATCTGACTTCCTGTCTCATCATTCTGCTAAAAATCTCTCTCCAAAGTCTCTAGTGATTTCTTACTTGAAAAATATGGCTTTTTCTAGTTGGTGTGGGGAGCCATGATGTTACTTTGTCCTGCGGCCACCCAGAACAACTGGCCTCCAGAACAACTAGCCTTTTGTGAGTAAACTCTTTTAAGCAACCCAGCTGGGGGGGAAGGTAGGTGTTGTAGTGGATAGAGCACTAGCCCTGGAGTCAGGAGGACCTGAATTCAAATGTGGCCTCAGACACTTACTAGCTAGCTGTGTGACCCTGGGCAAGTCACTTAACCCCCATTGCCTCCAAAATTTTAAAAAAATTAACCTAATTAACCTAATAAAATCTATTAGTAACCAAGCTGGTATGTGCCCCTTTTCTTTGGTATCTCAGCATTCTCTGAGGGTATGCCACTCTACAGTTGGCATAATTAGGGCAAAACAGGCCTGTCCCCTATCATTTGACATAGTGGGCTGGGTAGTCTGCCCTCTTACACCCACTCATCTAAAAAGGAGAATCTCTTAAGTTTAGAGTTGAAAAAGTGGGTAACTCTAAATTGCAGAACTGTTTGAAAATGTGATAGCTAGTACAAGAGGTTATCTTGGGTACACCAATACTTCTATGTAATTCATATCTCCAATTGCTTTCTCCATCAGCTGTTGAAAAGTGGCAGGTGGCCCTGAGAAGATTAAAGCTCTCTTCTTGCCGTAGGAATTAGACAATATTTATTTATTTATTTATTTGGTTTTTTTTTTTTTGCTTTTAGGTAATTGGGGTTAAATGACTTGCCCAAGGTCACACAGCTAGTAAGTGTCAAGTGTTGGGTCTGAGGCCAGATTTGAACTCAGGTCCTCCTGACTTCAGGGCTGGTGCTCTATCCACTGCGCCACCTAGCTGCCCCCTGAATTAGACAATATTTATTGCATAAATGCAACACTGAAAATCATAGGCTGACTGACAGATAATCCAGGGCATCTTTAATTCTTGTTATGGGGTACTAGTTCAGGTTAATTCCTTTGGCAGAATTCTGGTTGTCTGTATACATTTGTGTTTTCTTTTTTTTTGTACCACCATCACTGGACTCTGTAATAATACCATTGACCAACAGTTCTTTCATTTGGTTTCTGAGGTTTTCCATCACAAGTCACATGACCTAGAACCAATCTCTTTCAGTAAAAGCATTAAATGTTCCTTAGACACTTTAAATTCAGGTTGTTTTTCTTTTTTTTGGAATATAAGTTCTTAAAGGCATCCTTTTCCTGAATAAGTCTCTTTCAAACACATTAAAATTTGTTTATTAGTATATTTGTCTCCTTTAATTATTTTCTCCAAATATCAGGATATTTAGGGGAAGGAGCTAAGATGACAAAAAAAAGGCAGAGACTTGCTTGAGCTCTTCAAAATTCCCCTCCAAACAACGCTAAATAATGGTTCAAAAAATATTCTGGAGAGGCAAAACCCATGAGAAGACAAGGTGACACAATTTTCTAGCTCAAGACAAGTAAGAAGGTTGGCAGAAAAATGCCAAGATGAAAGTGGAGCACAGTCCTGCACAGGCTGCATCAGTGCAAGCTTCACTCCAGCAAACCAGCAGCAGGCCTTGGGCACAACTGAGTCAGCTATGGCAGCATGGCTTCCAGAGTTTTCAGAACACAAGGAAGGGGGTGGTTAGACAGCTGGTCAGAAGATGATTACAGGGGTCCCTTTGCTGGCATGAGTACAGGATTCTTTTGCATAATGTGAATCTAGGTCTCAGTCCAAGATAGATGAAGCACTAGCACACCAGAGGTTGTGGCTGAAGGGGAATGGAGATAATGGCCAATGGTCCAAAGCAGAGAAGAATGCTTGTGGTTGCTCACAGACCAGAGTACAGTCCAGGAGAATAGTAAACACACCTTTCCCTAGATCATATCACCATGGAAGAAGTGAAAACTTACAGACCCTCAAAACTAGGTCTGAAAACAGCTGCAAAAAAAACCACAAAAAATCTAAAGCTTGGGATAGTGTCCCCTTTATCCCAAGAGCAGAGCCCAAATTCAACATAAGTTAAAAGTCAAGAAATAATCTAAAAAATGAGCAAACAACAAAAAAAGAACCTGAGCATGGAAAGTTACTGAGTGTAGAAAGTGACAGGGAAGAGTGAAACACAAACTCAGAAAAAGACAGTAAAGTCCAAACAAAGCCAATGCAACCAAGATTAGGAGAGCAGCAGAAAACTGGGAAAGAATTTTTACAACCAGTGTCTCTGATAAAGGCCTCATTTCTAAAATATATAGAGAACTAAGTCAAATTTATAAGAATACAAATAATTCCCCAATTGATAAATAAATGGTCAAAGGATATGAACAGGCAGTTTTCAGATGAAGAAATTAAAGCTATCTATAGTCATGAAAAAATGCTCTAAATCATTATTGATTAGAGAAATGCAGATGACTCTGAGGTACCACATCACACCTATCAGATTGACTAACATGACAAAACAGGAAAATGATAAATGCTGGAGAAGTGGGGAAATTGGAACACTAATTCATTGTTGGTGGAGTTGTGAACTGATCCTACAATTTTGAAGAGCAATTTGGAAGTATGCACAAAGGACTACAAAAATATGCATACCCTTTGACCCAACAATACCACTTGTAGGGCTGTCTCCCAAAGAGATCATACAAATGGGAAAAGGACCCATATGTACAAAAATATTTATAGCAGCTCTTTCTGTGATGGCTAAGAATTGGAAATTGAGGGGATGCCCATCAGTTGGGGAATGGCTGAACAACTTGTGGTATGTGAATGTAATGGAATACTATTCTGCTATAAGAAATGATGAGCAAGGGGGAGAGGGCGGAACCTAGATGGCGGAGTAAAAGCAGTGACTTGCTTGAGCTCTCCCCCAAACTCCTCCAAATACCTGTAAAAATTGGCTCTAAACAAATTCTAGAGCAGCAGAACCCACAAAAAGAGTGAAACAAATTTCCAGTCCAAGACAACCTGGAGAGTTGATTAGAAAGGTTTATTGTGCCGGGCTGGAAGAGAAACACAGCTCAGCTTGGGCACACAGGCAAAGACAGGGCCTCAGGAAATCTGGAACAGGCCTCAGGGAACTAATTAACTGGAAGCTGTAGTGGTTTCCAGACTTCTTAACCCACAAAATGCCAAAGACAACATCGAAAGTCAGTAGGAAAGGTCTGTCAGACCTGGGTGAGAGAGGAGCATGGTCTGGCCCCAGTCCTGGCACAGCTCCCAGGCAGTGTCTGCTTCCAGAGCTCTCAGCCCACAGACAGTGGAGGGGATCAAGTGGCTGATCAGAAGGGGATTTCAGGGATCTCTTTGCTGGTGCTGAAGCAGGATTCTCCTGCTTTGTTTGTGCTTGAATCTGGGTTGCAGTCCTGAGTGGTGGTCCCGGGACAAGGAAGAGCACTGGCGTGGTGGACCTTGTGGCAGCAGTAGAGATGGAATCCTCCTCACAGTTCCAAGGCAGAAAAGAGTGCTTATGGTCACTCATAGACCAGAGCACAGGCCAGGAAAGGAGTAAACACCTCACCTTTGATGATACCACCTTGGAGGAACTGAAAATTTACAGGTCCCTAGAAGTATCTCTGAAAACAGCTGCATAAAACCCCTGAAGCCTGAGACAGTACACCCCCCACATTGGAAGCAAAGAGTTTTAAAACTCAAGTAATTTGATGGGAATATGATCAAACAGCACAAAAAAACTCAGACTATAGAATCTTACTTTAGTGACAAAGAAGATCAAAACATACAACCAGAAGAGGACAACAAAGTCAAAGCTCCTATATCCAAAGCCTCCAAGAAAAATATGAATCAGTCCCAGGCCATGGAAGAGGTTAAAAAGGATTTTGAGAAGCAAGTAAGAAAAGTAGAGGAAAAACTGGGAAGAGAAATGGATTGATGCAAGAAAATCATGAAAAACAAGTCAACAACTTGCTAAAGGAGATCAAAATACTGAAGAAAATAACACCTTAAAAAATAGACAAACCCAAATGGCAAAAGAGTTCCAAAAAGCCAACAAGGAGAATTGGCCTGATGGAAAAGGAAGTCCAGAAGCTCACTGAAGAAAATAATCCCTTAAAAATTAGAATGGAGCAAATGGAAGCTAATGACTCTATGAGAAATCAAGGCATTGTAAAACAAAACCAAAAGAATGAAAAAAATAGAAGATAATGTGAAATACCTCACTGGAAAAACAACTGACCTGGAAAATAGATCCAAGAGAGATAATTTAAAAATTATTGGACTACCTGAAAGCCATGATCAAAAAAAATTAAAAAAAAGAACCTAGACATCATCTTTCAAGAAATTATCAAGGAAAATTGCCCTAATATTCTAGAACCAGAGGGTGAAATAGAAATGGAAAGAATCCACCAATCACCTCCTGAAAGAGATCCCCAAAGGAAAACTCCCAGGAATGTTATAGCCAAATTCCAGAGTTCCCAGGTCAAGGAGAAAATATTGAAAGCATCCAGAAAGAAACTATTCAAGTATTGTGGAAACACAATCAGGGTAACACAAGATTTAGCAGCTTCTACATTAAGGGACCAGAGGGCTTGGAATATGATATTCTGGAGGTCAAAGAAGTTAGGATTAAAACCAAGAATCACCTACCCAGCAAAACTGAGTATAATTCTTCAGGGGAGAAAATGGATATTCAATGAAATAGAGGACTTTCAAGCATTCTTGATGAAAAGACCAGAGCTGAATAGAAAATTTGACTTTCAAATACAAGACTCGAGAAGCCTGAAAAGTAACAGGAAAGAGAAATCATAAGTGACTTATTAAAGTTGAACTGTTTACATTCCTACATGGAAGATGAAACCTTTCTCAGTATTAGGGTAGTTGGAGGGAAATATATATATATGTATATATATATGTAAAAAAAAATTGAAGAACTGCACCATCAACAGGAAGCAGAGCCAAAGAAATAACTCTTTCAGGAATCCACAAAAAATAATGAAGATGGTTTGAGATTTTCAGATTCCTCTCCAAGGACTCCACCAGAAGTTGACTGGGTTGATCTGGCATCGTCTCCTGTTTTGGGGACTGCTTCTAATATGAAAAATGGCTTGGACTTGACTACAAGCTTAGCTTGTCTCCTCTTTCAGTGGATGGGAAAAAGTCCCATCTCAAAACAAATTCCCTCAGCAGTACTTCTAATTCTAGACCACAGAAACCTAGACCAAAATCTGAAGACACCAGCCTTGTTACATGCTTTTATCTGGCTTTTGAAGTAAGCACTGTTATTGATCATTCTTCTTCCATTGAGCAAATGCTTGTGAGAAAAAATATCAATCAATCAGTAATTATGCCAAAAGATGAAGCTACTCCAAAAAAATTGACCTTTTTTTGCCATTGAAAGCACTGGGAGGCAGAGGAGTCAAAAGGAAGGAGACTGAAGAAGAAAGTGAACATTGCCCCCAAACCTCTTTTGATAAAGAAAGTGCTTTTCCTTTCCAAGGGGATATTCATCCTTCCATCAATGGAGACTCTATAATAGATAAGCCCCTGGATCTATCTGATTGATTTTCATCTATCCACTGTCAAGAAAAAAACCAAGGAAATGAGGTTATTGGTGGTTATGAGCCAATAAAAATGAAAGGCAAGATGGGACATGGAGATGTTGAACTTGCCTCAGTTCTTCAGTTAAATCCATGTAGAGTAACTAAAGCACAAGTTGTACAAGATCATCCTTAGAAAATATCCAGTGGAGTATAGACCCAGCAGCAGATCTTTCTCAATATAAAATGGATATTACTGCAATAGGTACAAAGGATGGTGGTCAATCAAGACTAGGAGGCGAGACTACGGACATGGACTGTGCCTTGATTAGTGAAACCGTGCTCTTAAAAATCCAGAAGCAGGAGCAGAAGGGCGAGAAAAGTCCAAAGCAAGAAAGAAAAGTGAAGATAGCTTATAAGAATCACTGGATCAGACAACACGTGAAGAATACGAATCCTATTTGGCAGACAGTTCTCCGCCGTGTGAGCCACGAGAAAATCTCCAAGTAGAAGATAAAGAAGAATTATCAGTTGCTGAAAAGAAACTAAACAGTCGTGAAGATATACTTGATAAAGTCAAACAAAGAGCATTTGTGGAGCCTTATTTTAAAGATGACAAAAGAAAGACCACATTGCAAAATTTCCCTCACATTGAGGTGGTAGGGAAAAAAGAAGACAGGAGGAAATTGCTCAGACGTACATGTAAAGAATGTGAAATTTATTATGCAGATATTCCAAAAAAAAGAAAGAAAAGAAACTAGGCTCCTGTTCAAGACACCGTTTCTGCTGTATTCCTCCTAACACCCTCGAAAATTTCTGGGAAGTTGGGTTTCCTTCAACTCAAACTTGTGTGGAGAGAGGGTGCATTAAGTAAGATCTTGATCCTCGTCCACATCTCAAAAGGCATCAGCCTTATAATGCAATGTTTTCTCCAAAAGGCAAAGAACAGAAGGCACAGATATTGAGGAAATGGTAAAAGATGCCAGAACAAAATTCCTTGTTTATTTATAGTTAAAGTTGAAATGAAAAATTGATTTCTTCCCCTCTCAAATCTGCTATAACCTGATTTATATATCATTTAAATACAATATGTCAGGAAATAAAAAAAAGAATCAGTGGATGCCACGACAACTTTGATTTTTGAAAAGCCTAAAAGATCTTATTTCAAGAAATCATACCAGCCTAGATCTATTAGAACCAGAAGGCAAAAATAGAAAGAATCCACTGATCATCTCCTGAAAGGAACCTCAAAATGAAAAGTCCCAACCAAATCCAGAGCTCCCAAATCAATGGGAAAATATTGCAAGCGTCCAGAAGGAAGGAAGTCAAATACCAAAGTACCACAGTCAGTATCACACAAGACCTGACGGTTTCTAAAAACAAGAGCTCTTCAAATACAATTTTCCAAAAGGCAAAAGAGAATGTGCTTATAATCAAGAATAACTTACTCTGAAAAGCTAATTTTGATCCCACAGGACAAAAAAATAATGAACCTTTAATAGAAGACTTTCAAGCATTTCTGAAGAAAATAAAGATGAGTAGGAACTTTGAAATATAAATGATTCAAGAGAAACCTAGAAAGGAAATTACACGGAAGATAATTTCAGAGAATCCCGAGGAGTATGAACTGATATAGAGTGAAGTGAGCTGAAAAAGGAGAACGATTTATAAGAGGACAGCAACACTGTTTAAAAAAAAAAATCTAAAAAATCTAGAGACAACATCTTGGACCGATGCAGTTCCCAACCATGTCTCCAGAGGACCTATGAGGAACGTTACCACTTCCTGACAGAGAGGCAATGGATTCAAGGTGCAAAAGAGACCCACATTTTTGAAGCTAGCCACTGTATGGATTCATTTTGCTTGATTATACTTATTATTACAAAGAGTTTTTATTTCTCTTTTTCATTGTTTTCAATTTGGTGATAGAGAATCTTGGGGGTGGTAGACTTGTCAATAATGATGCAAAAGAAAAAAAAGTCCATTGGAACATTTTTTATGCATAGAAGAAAAAAGATGTTCAGAAGGAAGCACAGACAAGGAGGATAGTTTTGAAATCAGTATGTAGAATTTGCTATATGCTTTTAAAAAGTGGTCAAATGATTCACAGTTTGATATAGAATCTTTTTGTGTTCTGCTGTATATATGGGAATGTATAGGAGAGATTTTGGTGTTTAAGTTCAAAATTTTAATACACAAAAGAGAGAAGAAGGAAATTCATTAGAGGGCACAAGAAAAGTTTTTATTCTGTTTTAAATTTAACATGCACTTAAAAAACTAAAACTATACAGTTTTTAGTGTTCTTTGCATATTGAAATGTTCATATTTGTCAAGTTCATAATGAAAAAGAAAATAAAAAAATAAAAGAGTAGGCTATCAAGGTGATCACCCTTCATGCTGAATGAATACACTTAGCAAGTGCCATCCTAGCATTTGGCCAGGCCCATAGTACAACTCTACCTTTTTCAGACTCTCCTGCGTGATTACAGAGTTTTCTTTTCTCAGAGACGAGATACATTCAAAATCAAGTCTTCTGATATAGTGCATTGAAATACTATCACACGCCTAGAGTCCATGGTGCTTGTTCTGAAAAGATTCCTAGTTTGGTCCTGATGCTGTTGTAACGTAGGAAAACAGTACTCTGTACTACCTATGAATGAAATATCTTTTCTTAATATAAACATTCCTTTCATTTTTTTCCCCTTGAAAGCCTCCAGTTTTAAATTTACTTATCACAGACACCACTCTAATTTAAGCTCTCACCACTTATCTGGATTATGGGAATGGCCTTCTAATTGGTCTACCATGACTCTTCTCTCTCCACTCTAACCTAACTTCCACATAGCTCACCTCCCTAGTAAATAAACCCCACTGGTTTCCTGTTACATTCAGGATTAAATATAAGATCTTTTGGCATAAAGCTCTCCACTTTCCTACCTTTCCAGCTTTCTTACATTTTATTCTCCCTCCACACAGTCTACTATTGAAATTTGTGTACTGAGTGACCCCGTTGTTTCCAGCCCTGCATTTTTGTTTTGTTTTGTAATAAACTCCTATTGATTTTCTCTACCTAAGTTTGCTTCATTATTGAGGGCAGAGGCCTGAGCAAAGATTTTCTTTTACTACTACAATCCAGCCTTACAAGCTTACTTTCTGTTCAGTAAGCATCATTTCCCATCTCAGTCCTTTTATCTCCCATACCTGGAATTCTCTAAAAGCATAGAAAGCTGAACAAATAATAAAACAAAAGATCTTCAAATAATCAGCTCTCAGATTATGAGACTATTAGGATTTTTTGGTTGCAAAGATTGCATCTCATGAGTTTTCTCTGCTTTTTTCTTTAGATTTATGAAAAACTAGTCCTTTATTGAGTTGGCACTGAAGGGAATTAAGTCTAATTAAGTCTTTGTCCCTAGGGTCAGGTCTCTTTCTCTCCCCACCCCTTCTTCCAGATGGTCTGAGGGGAGCATGAAAATGAAGACTTTAGGTAAGTGTTCAGCAAGCACCTTGATCTCACCAATGACTTAATAGCTAGTGTTTCTATTTAAGTTTTGCGGAGTGCTTTGCATGTTATGTTATTTGATCCTCCCACAACCCTGGGAATTGGGTGCTGTTTTATCCCCATTATATGGGAGAGGAAATTGAGGTTAAGGGAGCTGAAGTGACTTGCCAAGAATCAGGTAGCTAATGTGTCTGAGGCAGAATGTAAACTCAGGTCTTCCTGACTCCAGGTCCAACAAATCTAACCACTGCACCACCTAGTGGCCTCAGCAGGGACCAATCTTACTCCAATGCATGCCCGAGTTTACCCATTTTTTTTTTTGAGAAGCAATCAGGGTTAAGACTTGCCCAGGGTCACACAGCTAGCTAGTAAGTGTCAAGTATCTGAAGCCAAATTTGAACTCAGGCCCTCCTGACTCTAGGGTCGGTGCTTTCCACTGCACCACCTAGCTGTCCCTGAGTTCACCCATTCTTAATCTGTTACTGTCTTACATGATTCTCCTCATTTTCTTCCTCCTCCTCTTCTGATTTCTTTCTCTCTGATTGTCTCTGTGCCTGTCTTTCCCTCTCCTCCCACCACCTAAGGCCATGGAAAACAACAACAACCACCTCTAAATGGAATTGTCCTTGGAAGAAGTCCTTCCAAGGTCAAAGAAACCAAAGTGTACTGAGAAATGTATGCCTACACATATTACCTAGCTTTACTTGAGCATTTATGATTCTTTACCCTGGCTTCCAGGAGGCCTTGGACAGTAAGGTGACAGTGGTTACCGAAGAATAAGCCTTGATAATGACCAGAATTAGGCAGGGCTTCAGAGATGAAAATCAGGATGCATAGGAAATGATCGCCAAAAATTAGGGTTAGGTGTCTGATGGAGAGGCCCAAGCCCCTCGACCAGAAAAGTGAATTCAAAGAAAAGACAAATGAGCCTGCTAAATGTCTCTGCTCTTTGTTCTAAAGGGTTTGGTACCCAGAATCTAATCTACTAGAGAGGAAAGTTAAGATTCTGTGGTGAAGGGGCAGCTACCTGGTGCAGCAGATAGAGCACTGGCCCTGAAGTCAGGAAGACCTGAGTTCAAATCTGCCCTCAGACCAAATACTTGACACTTGTTAGCTGTGTGACTTTGGGCAAGTCACTTAACCCCAATTGCCTAAAAAAAGGGGAGGGGGAAGATTCTGTGGTGAAGGAGACAGGAAAAAAAGATGGAGTTTGTTTTTTCTGCCCTAGGGCTGTTTCTGGTCCTATGGCTGTTGGAGGTTGTTTTTCCATATTTTCTAAAGCTACTGACTTTTGAAATGATAAAAAAAAAGTTATCTCAGATTATGAGACCATTAGGATTTTTTAGTTGCAAAGATTGCATCTAATGAGTTTTCTCTGCTTTTTTCTTTACATTTATGAAAAACTAGTCCTTTATTGAGTTGGCACTGAAGGAAATTAAGCCTAAAAAACATAATAGCTTTGTTTTCTTATGATATTGATGATTTCTTTTATTCACAAGTCTTAACTTCCTTTTTAAGCTATTTCCTTAAAATAAAGCATGTAGCTTATTTGTAACAAAAATTAAAATTGAAAATTTGAAAATAAATTCACTTAGCAAATTTATTATTGTCTTTATGAGATGCAATCATTTAATGTCAACCGAATTACACGTATTCATTATTTAGACTAATAGAGATTTTATATATCTATATATGTATGCATATCATCAAATGAATCTGTGATCTCATCTATTTAGATGATCTGTCTAATGATGTAGATCACAATCCATACATGTTTGCCTGTTCTGTAAAACTGCTGTCCATATCCTTCCATAAATTTGCCAGAAATGGTCCATCCAATGGGCTGAAAGCCTTCCTTCATTTCTTCTAATATTGTGAGGATAACAATGGACCACTGGGTCTGTCCACCTGTTATTCATTACCCTTGCCTGGTAACCAGCTCATCTTTTTTTTTGTTTGTTTTCTTTTCCTATCATAAATTTCCCTGGTGACATCTTTTATTCCTCTTCTCCTTTGAAGTTGCTCATTGGTTGTATGTTGCAACTTTCTTACACCTTCCTTGCACCTCTCCATTATCCCCTGAGGGATATTCATTTTTACCTCTTTGGAGACTATTTATGATATTCACTATCTCAAAGGTATTTTGTTGTTGTTCAGTTGTTTTTCAGTCATGCCTAACTCTTTGTGATCCCATTGGGGTTTTCTTAGCAAAAATAATAATGGTTTGCCACTTCCTTCTCCAGCTCATTTTACAGATGAGGAAACTGAGGCAAGTGGGTTAAGTGACTTGTCCAGGGTCACATAGCTACTGAGTATCTGAGGCCACATTTAAACTCCTGTCTCCAGGCCTAGTCCTCTATGTACTGTGCCACCTAGCTGTCCTCAAAGCTATACAATAGAATAGAATGTTGTTATTAAAACAATGGACCTTTTTTTTTCAGTAAGAATCTTGGGCTTATTAAAGTAGCTTTGTAATCTCCTGAAGGCAATCCAACCAAGTTTCCTTCTGTTTAATTCTGCCCCATTTGTGCTGTCTGTCCTGTATAGACATACTGATAGACAAGTGCTATAGGTTGTCCATTCGACTGAATTTCATAATCTGAGCAATAGAAAATTTTCATCTACTTGGTCTTTCCTCTTTAGATAGACAAAACTCTTTTGAGATAGTTAAAGATTAGTGATATATGACACAAAAGTATACACATTCCCACTTTCCGCCCCCCCCCAAAACAAAATTTGTTGTGGGGTTTTTTCTCACTATAGCTTAGAAGTGTTGAGAAATTTTACATCTCTAGGAAGCAACCATGCTAACCAACTAACCATTCCTGGACTGAGATGAGCTAGAAGCCAATGTCAACTATTTCCCATCTATGAAGACCAGCCTCCTCTCTGTGGAACCTACCATCTGTTAAAAGAAGGGAATGTAAACTTGAGGATAGGGACTGTTTTTCACTTTGTATCCCCATTCCTTTCCCATAATAAGCACTCAACAAATGCTTGTTGAATTGAACTAATAAATGTCTCCAGGAAAGAAGCACCATCTATGTACGCACAGTGTGACTAAGGCTGCTTTTACCTTTCTCATTCTTACCTCTGTTTCTCCCTCTATGATGTCCCCCTTGCCTGACATTCACCCCTATACTGCTTTTACTTTTCTCATGTTTCTCCCTTGCCTAACATTCTTTCCCACCTCTTTTTTTGCCAATTCAAATCTTACACTTTCTTTAAGGCCTGACTTGAGTCTCACTTCTTCCAAGAAACCTCAAATTAACCCCACCTTGAAGTGGCCATATTTTGAATCCCAACAGTATTTATCTACATTTTCTATCACAGTATGGGGATTTGTATAATTTGGAATTATTTTCAGATGAATGTTTGTACTCCCTAGCTAGAGAATGCATATTCCTTAGCCACAATCATCTTTTATTTCCTCTGAATTACCCAATAGCACTTATATAGGGCCATATTCTAGGAAATATTTAATAAATAACTATTACATTGAATTAAAGCTGGTTTTCCTACTCTTCTCACTTTGACACTAAATTGAAAGATCCCTATGGGTATCACATGGGTACTTATTACCTCCACCTACACAGGTTGCACGCCTTCCCTGTTGAATTTCTTGCCTGATAAATTCGTCCCCTGGTGGCCAACCTTGTAATGATGATCTTCTCTTGACTCTTAGATAGGTTGGTTCTTGGAGGAGACCCACTACATAGTTCCTCAAAGCCTTTCCAGCTTGCCAAGACCCAGGCTTACATCCCACTGATATAACCTTTGAAAAGTTGGAGTCACTAGCTAGATTTTCATATACTTCCCCTTCAAACCTTCCCAGCTCAGTAAATACTTCAAAATGTTACAGATTAAATCTCACCAAATTTCTTATAACATCATATACCAAGATGTTTACCCACAAAGACAAATGAATTAGGAAAATGTAATCACCCATCCCAGAGGGGCCCTCACCTCCATGAAGATTTTTTTGAGTTGCCCTCCACTCGAAGAAGCATGAGCTTATATCTTTGACCCAGACGGGGCTGCAAAACAAGAGGCTGGAGACTTGGTGGTTCACTAGAGAATGAGAACTGGAAAGACTAAGTAGGTGGGGATTTTGCAAGTTCCGTGGCAGTTAGTCAGTTGATGTGACCGTAGCTTGCTCCACAGAAGGTGGTACTAGTTGAAGTGCATTTTTGTACATATTACCCATTTTTACATATGGTAGCACATGGTATTATTGTTAACAGATCTCATACCCCTGAACCTCTACTGTTCTATGGTGGAAGAAGCCTAGTTGAGAAGCCTGGCTGACCCACCATTTTCCCAAAATCATAACATAGAAGGCATTAGAGAGACCAGCTAAATGGTGTTAACAGAGTTGCTGTATTTCAACATAACACCCCATTTTTCTCCTTTACAGATCCTTTAGTCTAGGGAAGACACCAGAAGCAGAAACAGTATGTCTCGGGAATAGAGGAAATTAGGATAATGAAAGTCTGAATTCACCTAACACAGTGACTTTATTCAGCAAATTAGGGAATGGAAGCCTGAGCTACTGAGGAGTTTGATGCTTAAGTAAACTAACTTATCTGTATGTCTGCTAACTATTTACCAAAACTTAAACTCTTGGTAGTTTTGGTAAATGTTAGTGTCTACACATTACTCTTTTTAGCAGAGGAGAAAAGGGATGTCTCTACTTGTGATTTCATTACGGTAGGGAATTCCCTGCATTGAAACTCCACCAATGTAGATCAGCAGTTATTCTGAAACTTTTAAAAGACTTCAAGAGTTGCCTGGAGCCCGACAGGGGAAGTGAATTATCCAGTCCCACACCTGTTTCAGGCAGGTCTTTTTTTTTTAAGGCAATTGGGGTTAAGTGACTTGCCCAGGGTCACACAGCTAGTAAGCATCAAGTGTTTGGTCTAAGGTCAGATTTGAACTCAGGTTCTCCTGACTTCAGGAGATGCTCTATACACTGCGCCACCTAACTGCCCCTCAGGCAAGTCTTGAGCAAGTCTTCTGACTCCCAGGCCAGTATACTATTCCACACTGCCAGTCTTAAATCTTGATATGACAAATATATGTTTGCTGTGTTTCTCCCATAAAGTGTAAGCTTCTTGTTGTAAATCCAAGAATATTTCCTGATGTGTTTTGGGATTCGTTTATCGTTTGAGGAAGTATGTGTCTTATGTATGTTTCTGTTGACTTCTTATCTGTTGTTTTCAATAATAACTAATCATTTTGTGTTAGCTTTTGAAAGTGTAAATAAAGGCCATGTAAAAATATTTTTTTCTTGAAACATGTGATTTCATTGTTTAACATGGTTGCACACATATAACCTATATCAGAATGTTTGCCATCTTGGAGAGGAGAGAGAGGAAGGAGGGAGGGAGAAAAATTTGGAACTAAAAATCTTTTTTGGGGGGCAGCTAGGTGGCACAGTAGATAGAGCTCCAGCCTTGTAGTCAAGAGGGCCTGAGTTCAAATCCAGCCTCAGACACTTGACACTAACTAGCTGTGTGACCCTGGGTAAGTCACTTAACCCCATTGCCTAACCATAAAAAAAAGATAAAAATCTTTTTTATTTTTAATTTATTAGTTTATTTTTAGTTTTCAACATTCACTTCCATAACATTTGAATTTTAAATTTTCTCACCTTCCCTCCCCTCTCCCCAAGATGGCATGCAATCTGATAGAGGCTCTACATATACATTCATATTAAACATATATTCACATTAGTCATTAGAAGCGATGGGAGAAAACACGAGAAAGAAGAAACAAAACAAAAGAAAAAAGAGATCAAAAAGTATGCTTCAATCTTCATTCAGACTCCATAGTTCTTTCTCTGGATGTGGATAGCATTTTCCATCACAAGTCTCTTGGAATTGTCTTAGCTCCTTGCATTGCTGAGAAGAGCCAAGTCTATGAAAGTTAGTCATCACAAGGGGCAGCTAGGTGGCGAAGTGGATAAAGCACTGGCTCTGGTCTTAGGAGGACCTGAGTTTGGGTCTGGCCTCAGATACGTGATACTTACTACCTGTATGACCCTAGGCAAGTCACTTAACTCTGATTGCCTCACCAAAAAAAATTAATCATCGTACAATGTGGCTATTACTGTTTACAACGTTCTGGTTCTGCTCACTTCACTCAGCATCAGTTCACATAAGTCTTTCCAAGTTTTTCTGAAGTCCACCTGTTCATCATTTCTTATAGCACAATAGTATTCCATTACATTCATATACCACAACTTGTTCAGCTACTCCCAGACTGATGGGCATCCCCTTAATTTCCAATTCTTTGCCACTACAAAAAGAGCTGCTATAAATATTTTTGTACATGTGAGTCCTTTTCCCATTTGCATGGTCTATTTGGGACACAGCCCTAAAAGTGCTATTGCTGGGTCAAAGGGTATGCACAGTTTTATAGCCTTTTGAGCACAATTTCAAATTGCTCCCCACAATGGTTGGATCAGTTCACAATTCCAACAATACATTAGTATTCCAATTTTCCAACATCTCCAACAATTATTATTTTCCTGTTTTGTCATGTTGGCCAATCTGATAGGTGTGATGTGGTACCTCAGAGTTGCTTTGACTTGCGTTTCTCTAATCAGTAGTGATTTAGCACTTTTTCATATGATTATAGATAGCTTTTTTTAAAGGTTTTTCTTTATTTTGGGGGGGAGGGAAGCAATTGGGGTTAAGTGACTTGCCCAGGGTCACACAGCTAGTAAGTATCTGAGGCCACATTTGAACTCAGGTTCTCCTGACTCCAGGGCCAGTTCTCTATCCACTGTGCCACCTAGCTGCCCCCTCATCCCCTTTTATTTTTTTTTTTACTAGAGATAGCTTTAATTTTTCATCTGAAAACTTCCTGTTCATACCCTTTGACCATTTATCAATTGGGGAATGACTTGTATTCTTATAAATTTGACTCAGTTCTCTATATATTTTAGAAATGAGGCCTTTGTCAGAAACATTGGCTGTAAAAATTATTTCCCAGCTTTCTGCTTCTCTTCTAATCTTGGTTACATTGGCTTTGTTTGTACAAAAATATTTCAATTTAATGTAATCAAAATCATCTATTTTGTATTTCATAATGTAGAACTCAAAATCTTATAAAAGTCAATGTTGAAAACGGTCTTTATGTGTAATTGGAAAAAATAAAATACTTTTAAAAAAAAAGAAATATGTGATTTCATCAGTACAGGGAACTCCCAGTGAGTTTAGCCCCCAGGCAATTCAAATCAGCAATTATTTTAAAACATAATCTTAGAATTGCCTGAGGCAGTTTATAGGTTCAGCTATGGCCCCAGAGCACCCTCACTATAGCTCTAGTTAACAGTACCTACAGCTTCTATCCCACAGTGTTGTGGTGAGAATCAAATGAGATAAAGCCCTTTGTAAAGTATAAACCTGAAGGCACGATACAATGTCAAAATACCGATCTAATGATTTGATACTACAAAAAAAAAAATCTCTTGGGCTAAAGGCAAAAGCTTCTAACCATTTCCTAAAGATATCTTCCTGTTCCTGTGTATTCTCTCACCACATGGATTTGGCTCTTCCATTTTGACAGTAAGTCCAAAGAACAGAGCTGTCATCAAATTCACATTCTGGGAAATACCTAACTTCTCTGACCAGTAAATGTCTTAAATCCATAAATGCACTGAGAGACTCGCTGATATGAGAACTACCAGAAACAGAGGTCTGGACTTCTAGCTCAGGAGAAAGCACTGTAAGTCCATTCTCCAGTGAGGAGCAGTTAGGGACATCAGTGGCTTACCTTGCCCTTGAGTGTTGGCTTTGCATGTAGGATTGGTTGTAGAGAAGTGCATCCTTGGTGGCCACTACGACCTCTTTATCTTAAACTACAGTTGTTCAATCATTTTTTCGTCTTCAAGACCCCATTTGGTGTTTTCTTAGCAAAGATATTAGAGTGGTTCTCCAACTCATTTTACAGATGAGGAAACTGAGGCAAACTGGGTTAAGCGACTTGCCCAGGGTCAGATAGCTACTAAGTGTCTGAGGCCAGATTTGAACTCAGGAAGATGAGTCTCCCTAACTCCAGGTCTGGTGTTCTACCCATTCGCCACCTAGCTGCCCCAAACTACAGTACTGTATCATAATCCCATAGTAAAGCAGCCTGTCAGTTTGACTTAGGTAAGAAACTTACACACCTAGTTTCACAATTGTTTTATTAATTGAAATATGCAAATTTTAGGTAAGCAGATTTTAGGGGTTTCCTTTTCAGATGCTATTAACAGCTAATACAAAAATTGCTGCCAGTGTGCTTTTTCTTTCCTGACTTTTTGACAGAGGCAAGGTTCAGGACTCCCAGAGGGATGTTCACATACTGAGTGTTCTGGCCATTTCAGAACTCTGGTCCTTAGTCAATACTTGTTAGGTTATTGATTGAGCTGAGATCTGGCAGTTACACTAGGAGTGAAGGTTGTACTCTGTTATTGGTTAAAAAGCCTCCAGTGATACTGATAACATTATATTCAAATTATCCTATAAAATTCTAAACACAGAAGCAGTCAAGAGTTTGAGATTCTGAGTATCAATGAGTTTATCAGCCAGTTTCAGATGTTTATAGAATATAATATAGTTAATCATTCTGCATGAAGTAACTGAATAATTCAGGACTGACAAAGGGAACAAATACTGAATCTCCCAAGATTTGCCTACATGATACATGCATAGAAGGTAAACAAAGTGAAACTTTAAAGAAAAGAAGACTGTTAGCATTTCTATACCTACTCAAATTAAATTTAGCTAAACTAAAGCCAAATCCTATTTAAATGAAATTTCAGGAAAATAAAGGCATATTTAAAATCCTTCCATTTCAGGCCAAATTTCTTGAAGCCTAAGGAAGAAGGAAAAAAAATCAATTATTTCATCAGATAAGCACTTATAAAGCACCTACTATATGCTGGGCACTTTGCTAGGTACTAGGGATATAACTCCAAAGCAGAACTGCCTACTTGTAAGGAGTTTATATATACTGTAATGGGAGAGGATATGTAAATATATATGCATACATAAATACATTTCTATTTATTCACTATATTTGTGGTACATATGTGTACATAATAATAGTACTTCCTTTTTTTTCTTTACCCATTATGATTTCTTCTCTACAATACTTCATTAGAGGATGGAGTTCAATTACTTATACTCAGAAGCTAGGACGCAACCAAGTATAATCAAAGAATTAGTTTGACATCTCCACACTCAAGATCATACGAAGTCTTTTGCTTTAGAGAAATGAACAAAAAAATTTAGCCAAAAAGTTCTAGAAAACCACAGAAAGACAATTGTTCATGAAAATTATTGTTGTTAATATGTCATGAAAAATAACTGATCCAAGTGAAAGTTAAATAAGCAGGATTTTTTATACAATTTTTCTTATAAACAATAAAATATTCATAACATTTTTCAAATTGAAAGGGCCTCTACTGACAATGTACATATATGTGCATATATGTATATGCACCACAAACAAAGGGAATAAATGCAAAAAAATAAAAAGTAATTAAATACATGGTAGGTTGGAAGGGTCAATACTAACAGATGAGGGATCAGGAAAGGCTTCATGGAGAACAAGAATTTTTAACCTTTTTTGTGTCATGGACCCCTTTGGCAGTTTAATGAAGTCTACTGACTCCTTCTCAGAATAAGGTTTTTATTTTATTTTATTTTATTTTTTTAGGCAGTCGAGGTTAAGTGACTTGCCCAGGGTCACACAGCTAGTAAGTGTCAAGTGGTTGGTCTGAGGCCGGATTTGAACTCAGGTCCTCCTGACTCCAGGGCTGGTGCTCTATCCACTGTGTCACCTAGATGCCCCAGAATAAGGTTTTTAAATGCATAAAATAAAATACATAAGATTTCAAAGGAAACTGAAATAGGATGTATCTTTTTTTCCTACCCAAGTTTGAAGACCCTTGTGAAATCTATTCCCCTTTTGGAGAAGATGGTGGTTGAGATGCGTCTTGAAGAGGGACCTCCTCACTGAGCTGGGAGTAAGAAGGGCATGCTTTTCAGGCACATAGCACAGCCAGTGCAAAGGCCAAGAGATGGGAAACGGAGGAAGGGACAGAAAAGAAGGCCAACTTGGCTAGACCAAAGAACATGCAACAGGGAGTAATGTTCAGTGAGGTGGATATTTTAAGAGTTTTAAATGCTGAAAAGAGGTGTTTCTCTTGTATCCTAGAATCAACAGGACACTAATAGAGTCAAGCAGGCAAGTCTCATGGACTACAGAACATGGCTGCCTTCCCGGTCCTAATTCCAGAGTTGTCCAGCCTCAGCTTCTACTTCAAGTTAGTTACCATTTGTAAAAGAGCCAGCTTATCAGAGCTACAGTTAGCATTCAATGATGAGGATAGCCAGCAATTAATTAGCATTTGTAAAGTCCTTAACAAATATTTTCTCATTTGGTCCTCAACCTGGAGAGGTAGGTGCAGTTATTATCTCAACTTACATAGGAGGAAACTGAGGCAATCAAAGGTGAGGCAGGATTTGAACCCAGGTCTTTTGACTCCAGGCCCAGCATAACATCCACTGTGCCACCTAGCTGCCTCACATAAAGTCACTCTCTGGATATTGTGGGTTTTGTTTGTTTGTTTGTTTATTGTTTTTTTTTAGTCAATTGGGGCTAAGTGACTTCCCCAGGGTCACACAACTAGTGTCAAGCGTTTGGTCTGAGGCCCCATCTGAATTCAGGTCCTCCTGACTTTAGGGCTGGTGCTCTACCCACTGTGCCACCTAGCTGCCCCTGGATATTGTGTTTGATGACAAGGTATCATTGGACCGTAACTAGCCTGGGATCCTAATGAGAACTTTAGATATACCAGCAAATGGTATTCCCCATCTCCGTGCCTTTGCACTGGCTGTCCCACACGATTGGCCTGTATGCCCTCCTTTCACTTCACAGAGGCCCTCTGTTCCGTTAAGATCCAACTCACCCACCGTCTTCTCCAAAATGGGTGTTTAACCTGAGGTCTGTGGATAGATTTTAGAAGAGTCCGCGAACGTGTGTGGCAAAAAAAGATACTGAAATGAGAGGGAAAAAAAGCAAACCTCCAAATGTACAACGTGAACAGCTCACCCTTCATTATGGACGTTAGTTGCTTTCTGGGTCTATAAAAGAGAAGAGAAAAAAATCCGTTAAGCTTCAATTTGAAGAAATCAAAGACGACCATCATAGGCAGTACTGGGGGAACTATCGTGGGATTCACTTGCGGTGGGGGTGGAGGATGTGGGAAAAAATGCAGAGGCAGGCTTTTGGTAAGGTTCCCACTAAATCAGACCAAAAAATTCATATACACAGGAATATCAAAGCTCCAGGAGAGACGCAGACCTCTCTGACAGTCTGTGCTGTGAGTGAAATTGTCAAAACTGTGTAGCATTGCCCTTTTTCATTCATTCATTCATTCATTCATTCATGGAAGCCTACATATACATATATATTTATGTATATATTTTATACCATATACTATGTCGCACTAAAAATATGGCAAAACCCTTTCATAATTATCCCCCTAAAAGAGAATAAAGAATAGCTACAGAAGTTGTACTTCAAAGGAAAACAGGCCTATAGCCAAAATAAAAGGCTAACAGCAAATAAGAATTTTAATTTAAATTTAAAATGTAATATGTAACATAGATACTGCATTTTTTTTGCTTGTTTGGTTGGTTTTTTTGGAGGATTAGGTGACTTGCCCAGGGTCACACAGCTAGTGTCTGAGGCTGTATTTGAACTCAGGTCTTTCTGATTCCAGGGCTGGTGCTCTATCCACTGTGACAACTAGCTGCCTCGCTGTTGCATTTCTTAAAGCTTACCATTTGTGAGTGCTGCTGCCCTGTGTTCTCCTGGTTCCCCTCTCCTCCGATGACAGACTCACAAGGCCAATAAATACACTGGGGCATTAGAGCAGCTCAGCCGAGATCACTAACACATACTGAACCCATGTGATGTCACCGTGCAGGGTTTTAATGATCAGATTCTTTGTGCTTGTTAAAGTTTTCTGATATGAACCTATTTCAGAGGCAGCGGGACCCACCTAAAATTGGGGAAGGAAGAACCCATAACTTACCCCATTTAACCACTTTAGGTGCTTCGAGGGTTGAATGGGAAACTTTACAGGCATAGTCATGTTCAGACTTTGGATCGAAAGGAGCAGAGACAAGGCGATGGAAAGTCCAGTCGTTGCTGAAGGACAGGTCGGACATCTCCACTTTTTCAATCTTTTGCCCATTTTTTAACAGGTCAATGCTGATCTGGGGAGGGTGGAATCCTGACACAAAGCAGTTCACGTAGTTATCTTTGTCACTGTCCGGTGGGTGGCGGGAATAAACCTGAACTTTGGGAGAACCTGAGGAACACGAGAAAGAGGAAAATGAAAAATAGATTATTTGACCTGCTATGGTTGAGCTTGAGCCCCAAATAGATAAAAGCTTTGGTCATTCTTCTATCACCCTCACCTCCAGTTTGGGGAGGCATACACTTTCGGGTCTGTTGGATAGGGACAAGCATGTCCTGAAGTCAGCTCTAGCTATTGTGAGAGCTGATAGTTAAATTTTCAGGGTGAGTACTGCCACCTTAGAAATCAGCAAACTATATACATCAGGGCTTGATTTATTGTTTTGCTGATTTCTAGACTTAAGAAAGTAATGGAGAAAGTATGGTTATGCAGATTAAACTTAAGAGCATACTGTGGGGCAGCTAGGTGGTGCGTGATAGTGCCTGCCCTGGAGTCAGACTCATCTACCAGAGTTCAAATCTGGCCTCAGACACTTACTAGCTGTGTCACTCTGGACAAGTCACTTAACCCTGTTTGCCTCAGTTTCCTCATCTGTAAAATGAGCAGCAGAAAATTGCAAACCACTCCAGTATCTTTGCCAAGGAAAACCCCAAATAGGGCTTGGAAGAGTCAGACACGACTGAAATAATCACACAACAAAATCGCATTAAGAGTACTATGTAATCTAAGCACCGTATATAATAATGTTTCCATAGGAAAATATTTTCAGAGTTCCAGGTTGGGACAGTAGGAATACATCACCACTTCCTTCTACTACGAAGAATCAAGAGTCCCCCAAGCTATAAGCCACTGGTAATGGCTACAGTTTGGGTAGAGGCTGAAAGGAACTAGCTAAGAGGGAAAATTGGGGTGGGATAAGGAGATGTGGATCTCATGGAATTAGTTAAAGAGTTGGGGGAGGTGGGGGGTTGTAACTTCCTGCAGTTAGGAGCCCTTAGGACAGGACTTTTAAAAATGAAATAGAGGCAGCTAGGTGGCTCAGTGGATAGAGCACCAGCCACGGAGTCAGGAGGACCTGAGTTCAAATCAGGCCTCAGACCAAACACTTGACGCTTACTAGCTTCTCTTGCTTCCATGTCTTTGCACTGATAGTCCCCATGGTTGGAATAAACTCCCTCCTTATTTTTGCCTCCCAGAATACTTAACTTCCTTCAAGGCTCAACTCTGGTGCCACTCCCTGCAGGAAGCCTTTTCCTGTCTTGCTAATTACTGCTTCCTCTCTCCTCAAATTATCTTGTACTTATTTATGTATAAATGTAATATCACCTCAGTAGAATGTTACTTTAAGGCAGAGTCTTTGTATCCCCTTTGTACCCCTTACACATAGTAGGTGCCTAATAAAGGCTTGTTGAATTAAATAGAATTGAATCATTTCTTATAGTGACCATGGCAGCATAAGTAGACTCTCTCTCATATGAGTGGGATACACATCATAGAAAGACCCAAGAGAATGAAACTGATATTATGAAGTTTGGCTTGATAGAAGGGAAAACTTCATAACAATTAGACCTGTTCAAAAGTAGAATAAGCTCCCTGGGTAGGATGTGAGTTTCCTATCACAGCAGGTCTTCAAGCAGAGACTGGAAAGAGTTTGTCTAGTAGGTCATAGGATGATGAGATTATAGTTTTCAAGCTAGAAGAAACCTTAGACCACTGAGTCCAACCTTCTCATTTTAAAGCTGAGGAAACTAATTTTTCTTTTGGTCCGTGTTTTCTTTCACAATATGACTAATATGGAAATATGGTTTTTTTGGATTGCGCATGTATAACCTATGTCAAAAATTGCTTACCGTCTCAGGGAAGAGGAAAGGTAGGGAGGGAGAGAATTCGGAAGTCAAAATTTTTTTTAAAAATGAATGTTAAAAATTATTTTTACATGTAATTGTGGAAAAATAAATAAAAATAAAAGACTATTGAAAAGAAAAAAGAAAAGATGAGGAAACAGAGAAGTTATGTGACTAACCTGGTCACACAGCTAATAATGGGCATTATTTGAATTCAGGTCTTCCTGACTCCAAGTGCAGAATTCTACCTATTGGTCAGATTGTAGAGAGGAATCCTATTCAGGCATAACTTGTTTTATATTAACTCTGAGATCCCTTCCAATTCTAAGATTCTGATAACTTTAGTTGCACAAGTTTTGTGATTCTCAATGACATATATGAAGAATTCAGTGAAATATGACATAATGATAAAAAAAGCAAAAGTAAGCAGAACATGAACACACTGGAAATATAACCCAAAAAAGCCACAAAATCTAAAAAATAGATGAAGAAACTTCAGAAGGAACACAAAAGCAAACTGGGCATTTTTTTCCTTTTAAAGTCAGTACCCACATTTTGGAATAAAATATAAGTAACAGTTTACAATTTCATATATAATTTTGTATGTGTTTATAAATTTGAATGTTTTTGTTGAGAGGTGCTAAGTTTAAATTTTAAAAAGACAAGAAAAAGAGAAAGAAAGAAAAAGAGAGAAAGAAAGAAAGACTATCTGACCTAGTTAAACAATATAAAGTTTGGGTCCTAAAGTACAAAGTTTTTTTCTAAATGCCAAAGATACTGGTTGGACACAGAAGGGAATTGGCTGGTTTTTTCTAACAGTGACTCTCAAACCAAAATAAGTACATAATTACATTCCAACCAAAATAAAACATTTAAAAAATCATTATTTTTACTGTTTAATTTAAGAATGGCATGAGTTCTTTTTTATTTTTAATTGAACTGAAAATAATTTTCACAGCATGCCTTTTATACGTATTTCACATCTATCTTGATGTAGCACTTTCAGTATATGGCTACATATATTTTTTTCTTTCAAAGAAATCTTATTCTCAGGAAGTCGGCTATATTAGGACTAGTCTAGATAAAGTTTTAAATGTTTACTTTAAAAACTTTCTTTGTTTAAATGAAGAGGAAAAAAAAATAGTTCACCAACGTACAAATTTATTTCCCAACTTTAAAAAGTTCTACACTATTTCTATTTTTCTATAACTCTTTTTCTTCCTTTTTGAGAAGAGTAATGAGTAGGAGAGATCTGGACCTAGGATTTAATAGATCCAAGGACTTCCCAGTATGGAAAACTCCTCCACAGATCCAGCAAAGGCAACTCTGAAACCAACGTACCTCTCTATCCAATAACTCTGGGCCTCTCACTGACTTCTACTAAGATACTGATATCTGTTGGGAGCCTTTTCCATTGGCTCATTTCCTCCCACTAACAAAAAAAGGAGGAGGCTTCAGGAGCTGTTCCATAAAAGACAAGTTTAGTTTTTAATTTCCCCCAGACCGAATGGGGTTTAGAAAACTTGAAAAACAACTACAGTCCTAGTAAACACCCACCGAATGGGGGGGTGGCTAAACAAATTGTGGTAAATGAATGTAATAGAATATTACTGTGCTCAAAGAAATGACGGATATGATAAATATAGACAGAGAAGCTTGGAAAGATATGAACTGATGCAAAGTGATGTAGAGCCAAGAAAACAATAAACACAACTACAGCAATCTAATGAAAGAAAAGAACAAAGACAAAACAATTGAAAATGAAACCCCAGAGTTCAGCAGAAGGCAGTAAAGCCCAGCCAAGCCCCATTTCTAAGTTCACAAGTAAAATATCACCAATCACCTTAATTGCTGCTAAGCTACAAATATCCCTCGTTGTTTATTCCACAACATATCCGTACAAGCATTTCCAAGCCCATGGTTGCAAAACTTCCCTCAGGTTTCTATATGCTTTACCATGAAGCTGGCTCAGTATGGTGGATGAGCTGGAGAAATAAGCATGAGCTTTTCAAAAGCAGTCAACCAACATACTTTCTCCTTCTAGGTCTATGGGTGAACTTGAGTGAACTTGACCAATGGTGAACCTCCACTGAAAGAAGCTTAGGAAATAAAAGACAGCTAAGTTTAACTAAGGATTAGAGGATGCTACTATCTGATTTCTGGAGGGCAGGAGGTAGGCCAACACTAGCCACAAGTGAAATCTTGCTCTTAGCCAAAAGGCAGAGAGAGAAATAAGCTCCTTCTTTTCATGATAAACTTCCACACCTATAAATCTAAATTTTTGCCTGCACTTCTTCACCATCTTAACCCATTTCCAAGATCCAGCTCAGATGCCATATCCTCCAGGAAGTTTTTATTCTCATTTTATTTTTATTTTTTAAAATCTCAGAGGCAATTTGGAGCCTTTGGAGTTTACTGAGCAGGAAGGAAGGGGAGGGGTGTCACATGATCAGACTTTAAGAAAATCCCTTTAAGGGTGTGGTGAGGATGGATTTCAATGGGGAGAAGCTGAAGGCAGGGAAACAAATTAGGAGGTTATTGAAGCCTTCAAATGAGAAGTGAGAAGTGCCTAAATTAGGGTAGTGGCTATGTGGGTGGAGAGGAGGAGATATTCTAGAGATTTTGTGGAGATAGAAGTGATAAAAATTTGACAACTGATTTAATACATAGGCTGGGTGAGAATGAGGAGTTGAGGATGACAGCAAGATGGCAAACATAGGTGACTGGAAGGATAGTGGTAATAGAGTAATTTGAAAGAGGACTACATTATGGAGAGATGACAAATGCATAGCGTTTGACGTGCTGAGTTTGAGATGTCTGAGGGACATCCAAATGGAAATACCCAGCAGGCAGTTGTTGATGAGGGACTGGAGCTCCCGATAGAGACTAGGGCTGGATGGTCTAGGAATCATGTGTAGTAAGATGGTAATCAAAACCAATGGGAGTTGAGGGTCACACCAAATGAGAAAGTGTAAACAGAAAAAAAGGACCAAGGCTGGCGGTACACCCACAGTTAGTGATCCTGACATGAGCAATGACAAGTAGGAAGAACCTTCTTCTCTAACAGTAAGAGAAATCCAGAAAGGAGAAAGTATCCAGGAGGTCAGCAATGTCGAATGCTGCAGAGAGGCCAGTGAGAATGAGGATTAAGAAGAGGCAGTAAAATTTGGTAATTAGGAGATTAGTCATTTTGGAGAGAGCAGGTCGGCAACCAGATTTTAGGAAATTAAAAAGGAGATATTGAGATTGAGATTGAGATTAGATACATGAGATGAGATGACATGAGATGAAATGAGATGAAGTGGAGTTTTCTAAGTGAAGCTTTTCCTATGAATTTGGTTGAGAAATAGAGGAGAGGGAGAGGACAATAGTGAGGATGGAAGGATCTGAGTAGGGTTTGGGGTTTTGTTTGTTTGTTTGTTTTATAGAGTGGGAAAACACTTGAATGTGTTTGTAGGCAACAGGTAAGGAATTAGGAGATAAAGATTGAATATAGGCTGATAATGGGAACAATCTGCTGAAGAGGGGAGGAGATGGCATCAGGGGGCGGGGCTTGGGCGAAGACGGTATATATACATACATACATACATACATACACGGGATTTACACACACACACACAAACAATCCCCCCACGAGATAGTTTAGATCTGAAGGTGGGGAAGGTTAGGAGCTGCCCTGGACTTCAGGAGGATGCAGAGACCGAGATCGAGATCCTATCTTGAAGCAGAAGGTTAAATTCTGGTGAGTTCCATTTACAAAGTGGTGTTTCCATCAAACCTCAGGGCCACCCATCTCTCCCTTGTTCTCACTCCCCAACTCCCCCACCCCCTTGGCCGTGCGATTGCCACTCTTCTACACTTTCACTTTTTTGCCTGCCAGTGCTCAGAGACGCAAAGTAGGAGGGAGACACCGACCTGCCTTACTCGGGGATTAGAGACAACGGAAGCCTCCCCTAGTCACAAAGCCGGAAAAGTTAAAGGAAAGCATCCAGTGAACCAACCTTTCCTAGGCTGACTTGGATCCTGAAACCCCAACTCCCCATTGCCCCTTTCCAGCCTTTCCTTTCCCCCTCACCCTCCGAACCTTTTCCCACACCCTCGCCCACATCCGAAGTGGCTCCCAGCTAGTTCTAAGCATGTACTGCCAGGAAGGGAAGGAAGCCAACAGCTCTGGCTCCCGGCACAGCACATCCTAAAGGGTCCAGCTCTCCTGGACCCCAATCTGCAAGACCTCTTCTATCCTGGGAGGAGGGATGGGGCGGAGTGGGGTGGGAAGATAAGCTAAATCCAGGCGAGTTCCAGGCTGAGGGACCCATTCTGGGGTTAAGTTGGGGACAAGAAAAAAAGAGAACCAGATTGGCACTTACTTGTGATAGCATCCAAGTAGGGAAGGAAGCACAATTGCCCCAGGAGGGCAAGAAGGAAGATGCGAGCCATCGTCGGAAGACAGTCCCTGCACTCCCTTGCAACTCCTCTAGCAAAATGAGCGAGAGTTCTCCTTAGGCTTTTTATATAGTGCCTGGCTTTGCCAATAAACAGAGAGAATGACAGCAGCGCGTCACTGGTCTCCGGGCAAAAAGCTCTGCTCTAGGTTAGAAAAGGGTTTTTCCAATACTTTCATTTTCGTTTGCTTAGAAACTACCAAGCCTCATGTGATGCTTCTGGGAAGCTAGATTGGGCTGGACTTTTTTTTTGTAAATTATTGCATTGTTGAAAATATTGTCCCTTCACACGGTTAGACACAATTCCCCCTCCAAATCGCTGCCAAAGGTCTCTGAAGTTTGTCAATTTGATCACTAGGGCAGAATTTGGGGTGTGATTTCTCTGTAGGCTTTAACAAGGATTCTTAACCTTTTTGGTGTCCTGGGCTCCATTGGCAGTCTGGGGAAGCCTATGGACCTCTTCTCTTCTCTTTTTCTCTTTCTTAAAATTGCATAAAATACGTAGGATTGTAAAGGAAGCTAATTACATTGAAATACAGTTGTCAAAATATGGGTTGGTTTTTTTTTTCAACCTAGTTCAGGGACCCAAGGTCAAGAACCCCAGCTCTATACATTATTCCCACTGCAAAAAAGAAAAAAATTTAAAGGACTCCCTGCCTCAATCTTAGCTGAAGATGACCATCCAGATTTAGCTTCAGATGGACTTCAGGTGGAATAATGGGCCTGTGATGTGACAGGAACTGTATTTGGTGACGGAAGACTCGGATTTGAATCCCCTGTGCCACTTACCACCACTACTACTACTACCACCACCACCACTACTACTACTACTACTACCACTACTACCATCACTACCATCACCACCACCACCTTTACCACTACCACTTTTCATAGCTAGCATATTAGTACTCTAATATTTTCAAAGTGCCTTACATATGACATTATTTGACCCTCCACGAGGTAGGGCTATGACTATCTCTATTTTTCAGATGACTAAAGTTAAGGGACTTGACTAAGTTTCTACGGCTACTAAGTGTGAGTGAGGATTTGAACTCGGGTCTTTTTACATACATGATCTTGGACAAGTTCCTTCACATCTCTAGGTTCCTGTTTTCTCATTGTAAACTAAGGGTATTGGGTCAGTCTCCTAAACTTCCTTTCATCTCTCACAAACATCCCATGATTTTCTACAATAAAGATTTCTTCTTCCTCAAAATCCCCCAAGAAGAGGACAACCCAGGTTAAACAGCCATTTGGACAAAAGGAGAAATTAAATGAGGAGTTCGGGAAACAAATAATCAACCCAAAAAGAGAATACTATTGTAGCAATGGCAGAGAAATTTGTTAGTGACCATAATGATAATTTCATTCTCCAAAAAGTGAAAGAAATAACAAGAAGTTGACTGCTGAAGTAGAAATCTCAGAGTTCAGAAAAAAGACGGGCAGGATCCAGTGACTTAGTACTTTGTGGGGGAAGTAGGCCCAAGAGGGATGGTAAACTTTCAATAATTAAATTCTAAACGCATAAGTAGAAATTGTTCTGATAAGAGGAAAAATGGGGAACTGCCTAAAGAAGTCATTAACAACTTTGGATTATAGATATTTAAACATGACATAATAAGCAAGGGAAAATAACTGAGATGGTCTTTTTAAAAAAATTATTTTATTTTTCCCCCAATTACATATAAAAACAATTTTAACATTCCTTTTTTTCAAATTTTTAGTTCCAAATTCTCACCTCCCTTCCTCCTCTGCCCCCCCCACTGAGAAGGCAGGCAATTTAACCTAGGTTATACACGTGTGTAGTCATGCAAAGCACATTTCCATTTAAGTCAGGTAGCATAGTCTTCTAAGAATTCTTCTAAGAATGCTAAATTAAGAATAGGTTGGTGATGAATGCCACAAGCAACAAAAAGAACTTTTTAAAAAAGCCATATTGGGGACAAGAAAAGAATCAAAGAAGAAATAGGACTGAAGCTCATCATGGATGAGAATGATGATAACAGTGAAAGGGAAGAAGTACTAGGTGCTTTTGTTTGTTTTATTTTCTAAGGAGAATGGCCTTTGACCTGAGAAACACAGAACAAAAATGGTTAGCAAAGGGGTAGAAACCCAAGACAAGGTAACTGATGACACAATGTAAGTCACCAGACTCCCAAGAACTACCTGTTAGGGGACTGAAAAACAACTGGCAGATGTTATTATTGAGCTCCTATCCATGATCTTGGAAAGATCTTAAAGAATTGGAGAAGTTCTTCAGGACTGTACAAAGGCAAATGTCCCAATTTTCAAAAGAGAAAGTAGAGCCTACAAATTAGCAAACTTTACTTCTATTCCACACAAAATTCTAAAATACATTAATAAAAGAGGACAGTTTGTGAGGACTTAGGGAAGGGGAAATAACTAAAAGCCAGCCAGATTTCCTCATGGAAGGTCTTCAAGCGGAAGCTAGCCGTCCACTGGTCGGGAATGTTATAGAAGGGATTCTTAATCAACTGTAGGTTGGACTAGATGGCTTCTGAGCTCTTGTGTAACACTGAAGTTCTGATTTTCTGATTATCACTGTTGTGAAGACCGGAGTTAAAGCATACAGGAAAGATAAACCAAAATCATTTTGTTGTTGAATCATGTCCAACTCTTCATGACCTCATTTGGGGTTTTCTCAGCAAAGATATTGGAATGGTTTGCCATTTCCTTTTCTAGCTCATTTTCCAGATGAGGAACTAAGGCAAAGAGGGTGAAGTGACTTGCCAAGGATCACATAGCTAGTAAGTGTCTGAGGCCAGATACAGCATTATTTTTGGCAAGTAAGGCCCTCGCTATTATGTCATGGAAAAAAATATATATGCTTAAATGTAGTGGAAATAGTTCCATACAATGGTTTAGGAAACCTGGGTTTTGGTCCATAGAGTAGTTGGAGACAGAATAAGAGTCCTAGCTTTTATAATTAATTAGCTATGTGACTGAATAGGTCATGTAACCTCTACTGTCCTTATCTATAAGGAATGACTTTGACTATCTGACCTCTAAGATCCCTTCTAGTTCTTTTTATGGTTTTATAGTTCAGACTTTGTTCTCTTTAGAAATTTATGCATCACAGAAGACACATAAGAAGCAATCATACACAAACATAATGAAATGTTTAGACCAACTCCAGAAAAAAGGTTTTATAATTTGTTTTCGTTTTTAACTCATACTTTGATTTCCAGTCATGTAGTAGGTAAGTGGCTATGGTAAAGAGATGACATGAAAATGGTTTAAGACATTACATATGGTTATTATTTTATCAGGTTAAAAATAGAAGGAGGGCAAAAAGATTAGGAAGAAAGGGAAAAGAAACCAAAGTGAGAAAACAGCATGAGAAAGATTAATGCGCAATTGAGGTTGACTGTAGTTCAGTGGAGCCCAACCAATTTTTTTCCAGAGAAGGCCATTCCAACTCACAGAGAAAACAGGAAGTTTGGGAAAAAAGTACAATGACTTCAGAGGGCTTTTGTGGGAACCTAAGGTATACGTACTCGGACATTTTTTGGTAATAGCCATGTCACAGCTGCAAGTTTTGAGGGAGGTGACTTGGACTGGTAAATTCTGAAGGCTAAAAAGGTCAAGTGTCACGGGATGGAAAGCATGGGGATAACTAGGTGCCTAATGTGATAGATGTGACAAAATGGACCCAGATCACTCATTTAATAGAAAGTTCCTTGATAATCTACCACTTGGTAACTTTTTGCTGCAACTGCCTAAGAGAATAGGGAAAGGTTCCCTTCCAAATACCCTGAGACTATGGTAGTTCCCTCTTTAGAAAGAGATAACAAACCCTTCTAAGTGCCTACTGTGCATTGTGCTATACTCTGGAGATATAAAAACAAAAATATAACAGTCTTTGCCCTCAAAAAGCTTTTTTTTTTTCCTGGGGGTGGAGGAGAGGGAGAATGACCCAAAGGAATTGTGGTGGGATGGGCAGTACTTAGGATCAGAATAGACCTCAAGTCACAAGTTGCTGCTTCCCACTTTGGAGCTTCTAGCTTCCTAGTGCCTGGACTAGTTATGGAGCCTGGTTATGGAACATTTAGTGGCACAGACATCATGAGTCTTCTTCCGGCCTACCTCCCACTCCATGCCTTCCCATTTCTTTCCAATGCTCCCCAACTTTTCATCAGTCTTATGAGTAACATCAGCATATCATGACAATGTCATAAGGAGACAATCTATGATGACTTCCAAGTCCTTTTCACCCATTTGTTTGTGGATGAATTCATATTTGTAGTCAACAGGACCCAAGCAGGAACAGTCTTGTCAATTCCTCTTAGTAATATCAAGTTCCAATTCGACCCTCACCATTTCTCTTACAAAATCTTGAGCACAAGCCCACTATAATATAGCATATGTCCATACCACAAAGGAGTAACAGGTCACCCTTCCATAACTTAGATAGCTTAAATTGTGACACACTAGCTCCTAGACAACCCAGAATAAAGGAAAGTGTCAGTGGTCCTTGAGGCAAGAAAAACCTAGGTTTGAATCCTGCTTCTGAAATACAAGTTATATAATCATGATCCATTCATTTAGCTTTCCTGAGTTTTCATTTTCTCACCTATAAAATGGGAGTAACAATACCTGAAGTACTTACCTGACAAGGGTTGCTAGGTGACAAAGTAGATAGATTGCCAGGTCTGAAGTCAGGAAGACTCATCTTCCTGAGTTCAAATGTGACTTCAGACACTTACTAGCTGTGTGACCCTGGGCAAGTCACTTAATCCTGTTTACCTCCATCCCTCATCTGTAAAATGACCTGGAGAAGGAAATGGCAAATCATTCCAATATCTTTGCCAAGAAAACCCCAAATAGGATCACAAAGAGTTGGACATAACTGAACAACTTACCTGATGAGGGTGTTGTGAGGATCAATGAGATGATGTACATAAAGTGCTTTGTGAACATTAAAGCTATATGTATGTGATTTTTTATTACTAGGTTCAGGCCACATTTTCTTTATAAAATAGAGCTACCCTAACGTAGGGATGTTTCAGAAAGGAGTAAGAAGGAGAAAGCTCTTCAAGTCTCATGCGGTATAATTAAATAACATTCATAAGTATACCAAGATCATCATATTACTGTTATGAGTTAACAATTCTGACTCCTTTAATGCATTCCAGTGACTCTCATAATGACTAATAATTAGCTTAATCTAGGCAAGTGAGAGCACCTGCAGTTTCACTTTCTGTATTCTTAGCACAGTACTTTGCACCTAGCAGACATTTAATAAATACTTAGGATCAGAGATTTAGACCCAGAAGGGACCTTAGAAGTTACAGTCCAACCACCTCATTTTACAGATAAGCTATCAGAGTGAAGTGACTTGCTCAGGGTTATACAGCAAATACAAGTTAGAGACAGCACTCAAACCCAGGTCTTCCTACCCCATGCTACTTTGTTGAATGAATGAACATACATTAATACAGAAGCCTTCAAAAGAGATCTGGCCAGATTTTGGGGTAAGGTTAGGGTTAGAGAGAGATTAAATTGATGAATATAATAAACGTCTGTTTTGGGCTAATGGTATTGATCTAGCCTTTACTTCAACTCAAGGCACATTGAAATAACCTCAATGTTATTTGCCTAACATAAATGTTACTATAGGTTTAGACTGCCTCTTCCTTAGTAACAAGCTCTGATCTGTATAATACTTTAAGGTTTAAGTAGCCCTAACACTTCATGGACAGAAAACTAGGTGAAGCAGTAAACAGAGCATCAGACTTGGAGTCCTGAAGACACACTGTTCAAATCCTTTCTCAGACACTTACAAACTCTTTGAATCTGGCCAATTCACTTACACTTTCTTAGCTTTTGTTTCCCTATCTGTAAAATGGGGATAATAATAGCACCTACCTCCCAAGGTTGAGGTGAGGATCAAATAAAATAACAGGTACAGTGTTTTGCAAACCTTAAAGCACTAGCTGTTATCTTAAATAATCTTCACCACAATTCTGTGAGCCAGGCAATAATAAAAACATACAATTATTTTACTTTATATTCCTTTAAAGTTTGTAAAGTCCTTTACATATGTTATCTCATTTTTTCAGATGAGGAAGCTGAGGCTCAGGGACTTAATTTGTCCATGTTCACCCAGTCAGTAAATGTCAGAGCCAAGATTGGAACCCAGGCCTTCCTGTCTCCAGTGAAAGAGGTCTATCTATTATTCCATGATACTGGTCATCTTGAGATGCCTCCTCCTCTTTTCCTTCTGAGGATCTGAATGGAAAAGGCTTTGGATTTATTTTCCACCCATAGGGAAATCAATCCAAAACCTGGATACATAGATATTATTTTGAAGGAGGTTACTATATCCAAATAGCTCTTTCTTACCCACCAAAGTATATTCTTGCCATAGAAGGCAAGTCCAGTCCTCTACAGGTCTCCTTCTGTTATTTTCTTTCCCAGATGAGACTGTATTCATAGCTGTGACAAACCCACTTGGTTAAACTATAACAGAGAAGGAAAGCACTAGCCAAGCCTTGAGGCAAAATGATAAGCTTCGGGGAGGGCCTGAGCCCGAAACTGCCACACACCTGGGGCTGGGGAGTTGTTTTCACACATACCACAGGACAGCAGTTAATTAACTGCTCTGTGGTTTCTCAAAGCTTCTGCCTGTAGAGGAAGCTCCATCAGCATGTTGCTTCCTCATAGCAACTACAGAAAAGCCTTGTTTATAAAGCAGCTTATCAACTCACTTCCAGAACTCTGAAATTCATCATTTGGCCCTTTTCTCAATAATGCCAAAGTAAGTTATTTATTAGCACCTGAGAAAACCAGCTGAAAAGCAATTAGCTGAAGGTATTTAATCAATCATGATTTCTAAGAGAATGTACTTCCCATCTACTTGAATTCTTTTCTCCTAGTTCAGATTTCTGGCTCCCAGTGAATATAATGGTGACACCATCTAGGGCACATGAAAAGTTCTAGCCTGCATCTTAATGTGGAAAAAAAAAATTCTCATTATACTTTATTTCCTGTCATAGAACAAATAATGATGTGTGAAGTTTCAGCAAAGTGCGAAGGTTGTGGTCACAAGACAAGGCCGTTTAAAAAAGTAGATTGTCTTCAGGTGGTCCTTTGGGTTTGATTATTCCCTAGCTCTGTACATTTCTCTCTCTTGTACTTGTAGACATCTTCCTAAATTCAAATCTGGCCTTAGACACTAGCTTTGTGACTCTGGGCAAGTTACTTAACCCTGTTTGCCTCAGTTTCCTTATCTGTAAAATGAGCTGGAAAAGGAAATGGCAAACCATTCCAGTGTCTTTGCCAAAAAATTCCAAATAGGGTCATGAAGAATTAGATGTTATTGAAACAACTGAATGACAACTTCTAGATCAGGACTCTTGCTATTTTTAAAAAAGCACATTACATGGATAATTCATGCAAAAGCTTTTTTTTTTTAAAGTAAGGTGATAAGGCTTCTAGACCCCATTCTAGTAGTAGAGGGCCCTAGTTAGAGATAGTCAGTGGATTGGAAAGCACCCTGTGCCAGAGTAATCAAAATTAACCAGTTCTCTATAGACGCCTATTCTGCACTGATGGTTCCACCATTGCTAGAGTCAGGAGCAGCTCCCCCTCACAGTTCTACTGGCTGAATTGTCTCAGTGCATTCAGAACCATTTTTCATGGAAAAATGGCTACCATTCTCAGAGTTACCAAGGATGATAGAGAGAACTACAGTTTCCTCCTTCCTACCTTTGGTGCCAAAAAAAGCATAGACACAAAGTAAGCTGTGGTGTACAGCTTCTGATGTGCTGGAAAGAATGTGGGATTTAGAGTCAAAAGACCTGGGTTCAAATGTCTGCTTTGCCACTCACCACCCCAAGTCACTTAACCTCTTTAAGGATATTAGACTAGATAATCTCCAAGATTCCTTCTAACTCTAAATCCTATGATCCCATAGATTCTGGAGACCTTTTATTCTCAGCATACCCCATTTTCAATCATGCAAGCTCTGCACTTCTTTCCAGTTGCAAAGATTTCATTATCCCCTAATTATGCACCCACACTCCTACCAAAATCTCATGACCAGGGAGTGCTGTCCCTTTAAAGAGAGAACAGTGTGTGGGATTGGGAACCTTTAAATAGCTGGGAACCAAGTGGGCTCTGGCCCCAGAACAGGTGTTGCCATGGCTCGATGTAGCCAAAATCTCATTGACAGCCAGGCTGTAAGTGCTAAGGGAAGAATAAAGTCACTCTAGATTTCTAATGTAAAATCTGTCTTAATTTCTTCTTGCTCATCATGGTTTCACCACCTCTTCTTGTACTAGTAGAGAAGTGCCAGTGGCTTCAGCACTACCTTTTCTTTCCTCTAATAACTTCTCGGTATACCTTGGGCTGGTGAGGGGTGTAGTGGACAGAGAGGGGCCCTCAGAGCCAGGAAGACCTGGGTTCAAGTTCTGCTTCTGACAAATACTGGTTGAATGACCCTGAGCAAATCACCTAACTTTTTAGTGCTCTAGGGCACTCTCACTTTCTAAGACTAAAATAAGTTGCAGAAAAGGTGCTGACCTATATTGGTAGAGAGAGTAGAGAACTTAAATTCAGTCAGTGGTCCATTTCCTGTGGCAACTTTGAGTTGGAGAGTTGGAGTGTAAAGCTTCTTCCAGTCTCCCTTTCCCCTCCCGGATTTGAACTTGGGTCCTCCTGACTCCAGGGCCAATGTAGCTCTTTCTTTTCCTTCTTCCCTGGGGTATAGTTAGTAGTCAATAAATACTAAGTTATTACTGTCCTTCTGGAGGAGTTAGTCAACTGCTTCCTCTCAGTCTGGCCTTGGGGATGGGACCTGCGTCTTTTCTGCCTCGGTAAGGGTTTAGTTTAACCCTCTCTTGTGGAAGAAGGATGTCTTTAAGGGCCTGCCCTGTCACAGGTCTTAGAGGATTACTTTTTGGAAAATGAGAGTCTGCCTATGGAAGAGATGGCAGTTGGGGCAGTCAACCCACTTGGCAAAATGGATTGTATCGAAGGTATGCTGGAGAGAGACATAATGTCAAGATGAAAAGCTGGGGGTCAAGGAAGTGCAGGAACTCACTGGCAGGAAAAGGACTGTTGGGGCAGCTGGAACTGATACCCAATTAAAATGGCAATAGAAAGGGTTTTTAGGTGTGGGGAAGAGAAGACTGAGGGGTCCTTATTTAGGAGGAAGACAACAAAGATGTTTGGAACCAGTCCGGTTTAATATATTTTAAGAAAGTGTAACATGGGCCTGTTTATACACATGGGATGTTCAGAGGAAGTGGTGGTCTCCATAATGCAAAGTATTTTGTGTATAGGGGATATTGAGGATAGTTTAGAGTCAGAGGGCAAGCTGAGGAGGAGATAGCTGGGAAGCCCTTTCTTTAGCCTAGGACATAACGAGCTTCCTAAATTTGGGTTTTGGGCTGCCCTTTCTCTAGACTTAAACTTAATGGAGCAAGGACCTGGCGAACCCTGTGGTCACCAGATCCCTGAGAAGGCGAGCAGAATCCACGAGGAAGAAGATGCCAAGGAAGAGGGGGAAGAAGAAGAAGAAGAAAAGGAAGAGAATGAGTTGGGAGATCCAGCAGTGCTCAGTGCCATTCACGGTGCCCAGGTGCTATAGGGGAAAGGATCTTGTGCTCTCCCCACATTCCCATTACTCCATATCTCTCACTCCCTCTTATTTCCTTGTTAATTTTCCCCTATCATCCTCAAAGAGTGTCCTGATTTCAAGTAATCATATTGTGCTTAGGGCTTAAGAAGCTATTTCCACCTAATTTTGATCTTCACACTACCCTTCCCCCAATCTGTTTTTGTTGCTTGTTTTGCTTCCTGTGGTTTATAAAAATGAAAAGCATAGGGGGAGGAAAGATGGTACAGATTTCCCAAAAAGGAAATAAGGCTCTCCTGACCCTCTGGAAATTCCCTAAACCTCTTTCAGCCTGTTTCTGCATTGCCCATCTTGCTTCCTGCTTAGGATAAAACCTAGATCAATCTGAAGAGTTTTTATTCAAGGGAACTACCCAAATAGTCCTCTTAAAGGAGGAAGTATGATTCCTTTGAAATGGACTTAACATGATTAAGACTACTGGGAGCAATGAGTGGCCAGCTAGCCTCTCAGCCCCTTCCCACACTGAGGAGGTGGGACAGCCTTTGCAGAAGATAACATAAAGGACCCAAATAAGTCTAAGTTTTATCCTTACTCTAGAGAGGAGACAAGGGCTCTCCAAGACTCAAGGCCCCCAGTGGGCTGGGGATGTCTCCAGTATCCTTGCACTTTCTGTGTCAGGTAAGTCAGCTACATTCTCAACCTCATGGAAGAGTTGGTTGAGTCCTGGAAAGAATGAAAACCCAAAACATGTTCAACTGTTCCCTATTTCTGTACAGCTGAGTCTCCTCTGATCCCTGCTCTGGAGAATAATAGTTAAATTGGGTGACATACCAATGGGTGTACAGGAATGGATGTCCCTCTGTCCTATTCCCTGTTGTTTGTGACTACAATGAGCTGAGTTAGTTTGCAGTGAAGTGTGTCTACTGAAATTAGTGGAAGAGAGTCCTGGTTCTAATCTCATTTCTATGTCTCCTCCATTCCCATGCTGGATTTAATGTCCAAAAGGCGGAACCCTTGGATTTAATAGCATTGAATTTAATAGTAGAAAGAAGAACCCCTTCAATTAGGGTGATGGAATAATATCCTAGGGATATTATCATCTAGGAGGATGAGGACCTGGTAGAAATAGTTGGAGAACAGTAAAGGAAAGAGGCCAGGGAAAGAGTAGCATGTCGGGCTATGCTGAACAAACGATAAAGCAGACAGTAGGGAAAGAAAGGAAGTGAAAGAAGCTAGCCCCCTCTTGTTGGATAAGGAGGAGGAAGAAAAAAGGATCTTGAAACTGGGAAGTGAAGTAGACAAGGGTTGACTCAGTGAGGTTGGGAAGAAGAAGAAAAGGTAACAATAGTATGAATGGAAGATCTTATGCTGGTGGATTTGCTATATTAGTGTTAGGAATGTTTATCTAGAAATGACCATCAAAATCCTACTTCATCCACAAAAAAGAGAAGTAGAATAGGATGAGGAATACCTTCCTGCTATTGATTTTTTTTGTCCTAATTACCTTGAGCCTTAAAAAATGGCGCATAAATTCCCAGGAGGGAATGCTGTTTGAAATGTAAAGTGTTGGGTAACACTACCCAGGGAAAAAGAAGTCCATGAGGTAGGTCTGCAAGTTGAAAAAAAAATACAAAGCTACTTAAGAGATGAAGTAAATAGGAGAAAGGTTGGGAGACTGGGGTTGGAGGTATTTGATCAAATGACACCCTTCTTCCTAAGTCTTTTGATTCCTTCCTCAGACAATGGACTATTTGTCTCCAATCTCTTTCCGGTCTACATATCCAAGTGCCAGTTCTCCAGCACGGCACTTTGGACCTCAGCTGCCCTCACCAGACCCATCTCTCTTCTACAGTCCACCAGCATCATGGCCCCCAAGGTTCAGGTACTTTAGATTTTAGAGACTGCCAGAACTTTGGATATGTCCTTCCCATGACTAATTCTTAGGAGTATTAGCTGTAGAAGGCTAAGACCACTGAATCCTTTGAAAAAAGAATCAGACTTAAAACTAAAAAGGGGCCTTGGGATCTTCTCCAAACCCCTTACTTCATGAGGCCTAGAGAAACTGTGGTTTGTCTAAGTTTACATGGCTAATAAATTGTTGGAAGAAACTTGAGTTTCCTGAATCCCAATCTAGTGTTTTGGGGTTTTTTTTTCCTTTTTAACAACTATAGTACTGCCTCCCTAGGAAGAGCCATAAGGGCTATATCTTGAAGGACTGAGTCCCACTGAATTAAGATTGGGATGGGTCCATGTAGGAAGGTAGGAATGGGAAGTTGTGTCAGAATTCTTGATCTTTTCTGGAAGTTCTTAAAATTCTATTTTAAAAACTGTCTCTTTACAGAGATCCTTTTAAAGCCAGGGGGTGCTTAACCTTATTTGCGTCATAGACCCCTGTAGCAGTCTGGTAAAGCCTATGGACCCTTTCTCAGAATAATGTTTTTAAGTACAAAAATACAGAGGATTACAAAGGAAATTACATTGAAATACAGTTTTTGTCAAAATATTAAATTTTTAAAAACCCAAGTTCACAGACCCTATGTTAAGATCTCTTATCTTAAAGGAAATTCTGTTAAAAATACCAAACAGTCAAATTAGATGGATAAATCTCAGGAGTGGGGGGCTAAGAACTTGCTTGCTACCTTGTCTGAGTTTTTTTGTAGTCTCCCCAGTCACCAGACCCAACTGCATCCCCAGCACCAACGGATCTTGCAGAAGCAGCGGCAGGAACAACAGAGTAGTCATAAACACCAGAGGTAACACTGGGCAGAATGCAGGAGTAAAAGATCTGTTTGGATGTGGGCTATTCCCCCGGGGAGGGAGAATATGGACCCAGAACGTCTGCATGAATTGGGATCTCCCACCTTTGTCATCCCTGTCCTTGCCCCCCCATCCTTCCATTCCCAGCCTCTCTTTTGGGAGAGTGAAGGGGATAAGAGAGGCCCAGACATCAAAAGAATGTTCTTCCTCACTTAAAGTCCCCGTGTTGGGAAACTGTGGTCCCAGAAGCCAGATCCCTATGCTGGTCTCATGAATCAAAGGGAGAAAGACTGGGTGATCAAGGTACAGATGGTTCAGCTGCAAAGTGAGAACCCTGAGCTGGATGACTACTACTACCAGGTAAGCTCCCTCATTCTATGGTAGCACAGTGGCAAGAATGTTAGATTTGTAGATGGAGGAGACCCAGGTTCATGTCTTGGCTTTTCCATTATCTGTTCGACTTTAGGCAAATCACAAGGCCCCTCTCTGGGTTTAGTTTCCCTATATATAAAATTAAGGGATTGGCCTAGATCACCTTCTAAAGTTCCTTCTGGCTCTAAATGTACGATCCTCTGAGGCAATGACTAAACAGGTGTAGCCCAGTCCTCATGGTACCGTCTTGGATATGACCTCTTTGTTTCCTTATAGCAGAAGTTCCTGGGATCCACAGACCCCAAAGATTTCAGGGGGTCTGTAAACTTGGATGGGGAAAAAATTACATTTTTATTTTCACTAACCTCTCGCTACCTGAAGTTTAGCATTTTCTTCTACCATGAGGGTATGCAATAAGCCACAGTCATACTAGTAGTACCTATGACTTTATATCGGCAATAGAAATCGGAGGTCTTTTCACATATTACAGTTCTTACAGATGTCTTGAAATGTCTTCTGCTCATTACTATTTTCAAATTACCATAGTTGTTAAGACTGCCATGAGAACATGTTATCACAGTCTTCATTTCTATAGACTATATTTCAATATATAATTGGTTTCCTTTGTAATCCTAATTTATTTTTTTCATTTAAAAACATTATTCTGAGAAGGCATCCATAGGTTTCACCAGACTGTCAAAGGAGTTCATGATGCCAAAAAAAGGTTGAGAACTGCTTTATAACACCTAATTGACACATTTTTGATTGACAATCCTTTAGTCCACTGCACATCAACCTAGCAGGACCCTTCTCCCCAAATTGACTGAGTTTGTAAATGAGTGAAAGTCAGGAGGTGTCAAATCAAAATTCCCAAAGCAAAAATCTTGCAATGTGGTTTCTACCTTTGCTCTAACCTCTCCGGGTTGATTAAGCAAGAATCTCTATTTACAAAATTAAATCACTTTCTGGTACTCTGTGAACTGCTTAGGCGGTGGCAAATAATGGTACCCCTCCCCTTTTCTCCCTGTTACTCCAGCCATCTTTTTGCCCAAAATTACTAAATTGTCTCCTCGTTTTCCTAACCTCAAAACCAAGGCCTCTGTCTTTTCCCCCATTCCTATTCACTCTGAGTTCTTCCTTTCTTTGTCTTGATTTACGTCTCTCTTCTCATTTGCATTTTTCATGCTAAAAGGAATCCTGCCTCTTTGGGGTATAAGGAAATGTTTTGACCCACTTGCTTCCCAGTCAGACACGGACCGTAGCCCTGTGCCTGTTTTCCTTGTCAACCTTCTGCATGTCCTTCCTGCATTCCCTTTGCTCTCAGGAATATTACCAAAAGCTAGAGAGAAAGCAGGCAGATGAGGAGCTGTTTGGGCGAAGGGGTAGGCTGGAATCACCTAAGCTGGTGACCCCTTACATTCAGAAGACAGAGGACTATGAATCAGGTAGGAGTGAAAACTCGCCGAACTGGGTAGGGTGTACTTGTGAATAAACTGAGTGAGAGGGGGCAGTGGTTAGGCCTCACCCTGCTGGTTTTTTTCCCAGTGGTTCGAATCGAAGGTTCCCTAGGCCAGGTGGCGGTATCTACCTGTTTTGGTCCCCGCCGGGCCATTGATGCAGTGTCGCATGGTTCACAGGAGCAGGTAGGCTCGTTATTCACTTAGAGCTTCTCCTTTTATCTCTTTTATTTTAACATTAGGCAAGTTCTAGTGTTACTCAGTCCCTTAAACTGAGTTCAAAAGTCAGGCTAAACCCCAAAACTGAGTTTTCTGCTCAGACTTTACTTAAGGTCCTGGGCCTTTTCCATTTCTGGACGTTGGATCAGTAGCCAGTACCCTTTTCTTCCTAGGATTCAGCAATATATAATCAGAAGCTTCAAGTACTGTATCGGATTGAGAAGGTAAGACTCCTCAGTTAGCCCTTTACCAGCTTAACCTTCTCACCTCCTGAGGGATGAATCTACCAGCTTCACCCAAATTCTCCATCAGATATTTCTAAATCAAAGAACAGCATCTGCCTTTTCACTGATTTCACGTCCTGGCCTACCTCAACCTAAAATTTTCCCTTCTTAACAAAGTCCAGAGGTTCATCTATGACTTCCTCCAGTAGTTGTTATAGCTCTACTTCTGCTGGTGCTTATGGAAAATTTGGGGGAGAGAAGGTTGCCTGGAGGATGGCAGGTGTTCAGCAGATTTATGCTTCTCTTTCCTTCCAGATGTTCCTTCAGCTGTTGAAATTGGAGGAAAATCAGAAGGGTATGCTAGCAAAGTCCTATTTCTATGAGCTGCAGAGAAAACAGCTAGAGAAGATCTACCAGGAATTGAGGACTGGTGATCAGGACAATTCAGAGTGAGTACCTTTGACCCTCCTCATTCCCCCTAGGACTTATGGGACAGTTAGAGTAGATGTGAGTTCCATTCTAAGAGAAACTATACTTGTCTTGTTTCTCTAGAATAGGGGTAGGGAACCTGCAGCCTCGAGGACACATGTGGCCCTCTAGGTCTTCAAGTGCAGCCCTTTTTTAAGCAAAGGGCCACACTTGATGACCTTGGAGGCCACAGGTCCCTCACCCCAGGGGGACTGTTCTGTTAAGTCTGGATTCAGTTAAAGGGCCACACTGGAGGACCCATAGGGTCACATTGGACTCAAGGTCACAGGTTCCCCATCCCTGTGCTTAGAACATCCTTCTTGACATAATCACTTCTACAAATTTGAGGTGTTTGGCTCTGAATCCTCACTCTGCTACTTATGAACTGTGTGATCTTGGGCAAGTCACTTAAAAGCTCCATTTTCTTCATCTGTCAAATTAAGAAGGTGGACTAGATGACCATTAATGTCCCATCTAACTCTCAATTCTGTGATCCAATCTCACTTGCAGGGAAGCAGCAAATGGATTCCTACAAGTACTATCAGTGAGGAAAGGAAAGGTCCTTGTGGCCCGGCTACTACTACTGCTTCCACGGGATCAGGCAGTCCACCTTGTCCTATCAATCACCAGTCACTTGCCCTTCCTAATTCGAAGGGATACAGCTGATCAGGTACGCTTGGGGTTGGGCAGAGTGCCTAACCTCTATCAGAGATTGGTGATGATATTAATCTTTTGTGAGGCTCTTCCAGAGAGAGACTTCCATGGATGTTTTTCCACGGTATAGACCATAGCCCATTCATGCCTTTTTATGCTGTACAATTTTTGTCTATATCATCCCATTAGTTCTCTACAGAGGGCCCACCTCGTGTGCTAAGGGCTTTCATCCAGACCTTATGGAAAGGACAGCAGTAATTTATTCACTTGTGCTTTTTAGTTCCTTTCAGGAATCAAGGAGTTAGGAAATATGTAGCATATGCTATATCATCTAGATAAAAACACAAATTCGGATATGATGGACCTAGCCAAGACACACAGTGATAGTGCAGTGATGTCTACACATATGTAATTGTAGGCCTTGGGTAGGGGAATCATGCTTGTAGCTAGTAAGCACCAAGTCTTCTTTCCTTTAAGGCATTATGGAAGAAATGGGCTTGGCAGGGGTGAGTAGAGGGCCGTGTTAGGGCTGGAGGAACATGAATGATAACAGAATTGAATTGAATGATATCAGGAATGGTAGCCTGCAAAACCTGACCATAAAGAGCCAATAGGAAGGATATAAAGGAGTAAAATGGAGGACAAGTTAGAATGAGCTTATTTATTAAACAATTCCTTTTGAAATAGTATCTGGCCTTTTCCCTTACCTATAGGCCCTACATATGCTGTTCAAGCCCATGGGAAAGTGCATCAATCTCTTGGCCTTTAGTGAGCTTCTCCAAGGGCTTCAGGGACTGATGGTGCTACAACCTGGATCCCAAGAGCGGCCAATCACTGTAGTTCTTCAGAACCAGGTATTGTGGCCTATAAGGCCAAAGAGACTTGCTTGAACATAGGTCACTTCTAATTTTGGTGACTAGATCTCATTTAAGTGAATACCTTAGTGTCCCAAGCAGTGTGGTCGCAAATGGTATACTTATAATAGAAAGGCATGTCCTCTAGGTCCTTTCCACAAACCTCTGCATTCCAGCCACACTTACTAGCAGTGTGACCTTGGGCAAGGCATTCTGTTTGAATTTCCTCATCTGCAAAATAGGAACAATAATAGCACCTGCCTCCCAGGGTGGTTGTGAGGATAAAATGAGATATTTATAAAGTACTTTGCAAACCTTAAGGCACTATATAAATGCTAGCTATTATTATCTGGCCCTCTTGGAGGAAAAGATCAGAATTTCTTCAGTCCATGGAAAATCCTGACTATTCCCATAGAGGTTAAATTAACTTCCCTTGAGTTAGGTGATGGAAGCAAGGCCTTGGGAGCCACTGAATACCCAATGTTATTTCTTGCCCTTTGCTCCATTTTTTGTAGTTTGGGATCTCCTTGCTCTATACCCTTCTGAGCCACGGGGAGCAGCTGGTGTCCTTGAATTGTTCCCTGACACAACACAGCAGCAGCGATCTTGCAGCTTGGTGAGAAAGCATTCAGATAGACCTGCTTCTTTAGCATCACTATGCTATCTTTGTGCTGGGTTGGATAAGATTTTTCCTGCTTGCATTCTCACTAGTCTGGGTAAAGAAGGGAAGAGGTTCGAGTGAGCTCAAGGTAGTTTATCTTTAGTACCTCATGGATATTAACAGCTGGTGGTCCCTTCTACTCAGTAAGGTCTGTTTTGTTGCAGCTGACTAAGATACTAAGAGGAGATAGGGGTTTTAAGGTATCTGTTGGCACCTGAGAACTTGGAATTTTCTTTGATGGTACAGGCTTGTCCCCTTCTTGTTCTCCAAATATACCAGGCTCTGGTTATCCCTGCCTTACTCTGAGCTTTCTTTCCTCTGTAGGACAGACATGGTGGTTCTAATTGCCTGGGAGATATCCCACATGTCCACCGCTTCTCTGGCAGAGCCACTTGTTGTCCCCAGCAACCTCCCCTCCCTGTTCTGCCGTTATGTGGACAAACAAATAGTACAGCAATTAGAAGCCAGAATGGAGTAAGTGGGCAATGAAGAGACATAACCACCATCGTTTAAGCCTCATCCCAGTTAATATTCCATTTCCCTCCATACTCTCATTGCTCCATTTAATAGGAGCCGGGGACACTTGGCTTTGGGGTATCTCAGTTCTTCTACCTCTGTCCTATTCTGTTTCCATTGTCCTCCAAACTAAGACACGACAGTCGGAAAAGATACTTAAATCACAAGCACCACTCTTCCTGAGTGGTTTCTTGAGTTGGCAGGCATTTTATTTGGTTCTGGCAGGGATCCCAGACACTTAGTATATGTGTTAAAGATCTAACTTTCGCCTCCCAGAAATTTAATCTTATAAGAAGTTTATATAAACTGTATTTAGGGTTCTTATGGGTGTTCCAGAATTTAAGTTCATAGACCAAAGACTGTTTACAGTTGGTTTTGTTTTTGTTTTTTGCAGCTATGCCCCTGTGGCTACCGACCTGACTTATTTGGGAAAATTATCCTGCCCACCTACATACCAGTCTGTTAGGGCTGAAGTTGAAGAAGGGAAAATTCACTGAAGGAGCTGTGCCCTTAACACACATGAAGAATTTTTTGATTTTCCTCAGTAATTGCAATGGGGACCCCAGGTTTCTTTACTGTTCTTCTAATGAGTGCAGAAACCTAGAACCTTCGGGAAGGGAGTGCTGGGCAGTGCATGATTTAAATTAAAGTGCTCATATAAAACTGGAACAAGTGGGTGTTGAACTATTGCTTTGATAAAGGTCACATTTTGCCTTCCCATTTCCAAAAATAGCTTCTTCCCTTTCCTTTCTGCTAAACATCTTTACTAGGGACAAATGAAGTAAATGTTTTTGCCAAATAAATGGGAATGTAATAATAGTAAATTAGTAAATAGTAATAGTAAAAAATACTAAAGGGGTATCTCTCAATACAGCAGGAATGCTATGTGTTCTGACAGATAAGAAAATGAAGTATTTTTCTCAGTAATCATCTAATAGCTCTAATTAGGAGCCTTCTCTCATTCATAGAGAGGTCATTTCCCTCACAACCGTAAAATGGGTAAAATGATTGGATAAATAATATAGATCCTAGGATTCTGAAGTGTTTTTTTTAAATAAGTGATGGGATTGAAGAATTTCTCCCTGCCTTCTACCAAACATCTTTTATTAATAACAAGAGCTAATATTTACATAGTGCTTTAAGGTTTGCAAAACACTTTTGTCACAACTGCTAATCGCTACTCCTAGGAGTAGGTACTATTTCCTTTTTATAGATGAGGAAACTGAGGCAGGAGGTTAAATTCAGTGTCTAAGGCCAGATTTGAAGACTGGAGTATACCACCTAACTACCTCCATTTATTTAAACGGCCTTCCTTCCCTCTTTACTCTGATAATTCTGGTTTCATTAAGTATGAGTATTTCAACTCATTTATATCTCATCTTGCATAATTCTGTCCATAAAGTCTTCCAAAGAGTCTTTACCCAGCAGTCTCAAGGCCTTCCTTTCATATTTTCTAATGTAAAGCACTTAGCTGTCCATCCATTTTATCCTTTGTTACAGAACTGATTCCCCTACCACCACCATTTCTCAAAAATATCTTTCCTAAATACCTTTTATATGACATCTGCTCGAGTTATTGTTTGTAGTACTCTGAAGCCCGATTTCTGCTGTGCATCTCTTTGTTATCTTCGGGGTCACCTATAACTTTAATTCTTCAGGGATTATGGTAGTGAATAAAGTTACAATCTCTACACTATACTGCCCTTTTCAACTCCCTGGGAGAAAAACTTAATTCATATTGAATGTAATGGGAGTCTTTCTCATCCAGACCCCCATAGCTTACCTGGCTGAAGTAACCTTCACATGGAAGATGCTCTGGAGAATGTAATGGTGGACAGTCTGCAAATGCACTCGATATCCCAATACATTGCTAATGTTCTCTCAGGAGGGACTGGATGTTAGGACACAGGCTGGTGTATTTATACCAATCCTATTTAACCTAACTAGTGAAGCCCATTGTAGAATGAATGATATGCCACATATATACATATATGTATATGTCTGTATACATACATATATTTTTAAAAAACACCTGGAAACTAAAATGGAAATTGAGGGAAAAGTGTTCTGTTTCTTTCCTGTTCTCATCTTTGCTAATTTGAACACCTACATTACCCAACTAATACCCTTTGACCTAGTTTATCATCCTTGTAACCTTTGTCTTTATTCTGTTTGTCTACTTTGCCTGTTTTTCTTTCTCCTCACATTTGCTGACAAACCTCTTCAAAGATTTTATCCTATTTCCACTTTAAATTTGACATTTGTAGTCATGTTTAACATACTTTTTAAGGGCCATCTATCCTTGAACTATTTACAATCTTATATCTACCCATGTTACTTAACAGTAAACATTCATCTGTCACCAATGATTTGGCAGAAAATAGCCTGCGTTGGAGACCAGAAACTGAGTTGGGTGGTGGGGGTGACGGAAAAGTCAGTCCAATGTGGTCCCTCCTCTCATGGAGCTTACCATTAGGTAAAAGTACTATAACATACATACACAGGGAGCAAGATCAAGTGTGTAGCAAAGATTCAAAGTAATTCATCTGAGCAAATTTTTACTATTTTCTTTTTCCATCACAGAGTTTGGAGCTGAAAGTAATCTTAGAAGCCTCTTTTAAAAAAATGGTCAAAGTACTTGAGCTCAGCCCATTCCCAGGTGACTTTCTCAAAGTTGTACAAGTAGTAGATGCCAGGTCCTCTGACTCCATATTTTAATAGAAAAAAATACAAGATTTGGAATTGGAGGACCTGAACTCAAATTTCTGCTACTACTCCCCAAATAAACTTCGGAAATCACAGCTGCAAGGGCTCTGCCATTTCCACTGCCTTCTTGCAACACTTCTGGGTTGATCTTGGATTATGGTTATTTGTATAACCTGTTTTCTCACCTGGACCAGGGCTTCACTGGAGAATCCACAGATAGATTTCAGGGAGTGAGGGGTGGGGGTCCAGGTGTGTGTCTATGAACTTGTGTTTTATTTTGTGTTTTTAAAAACATTATGAAAAGGGGTCTTTAGGCTTCACCAGACTGTTAAGCAGTCCATCATACTAAAAAGGTTAAAGAACTCCTGTTCTGTCTAAATTATAAGATTGGCTCTCCTTCCCCCAATCTATTTTAGCTATCTTTTGCATCACTTCTGCTCTGGCACTGTGCTCTCCTGAACACATAGAGCAATCCCTTTTTAAGCAGTGTTGTCTTCAGCTAAGAAGAAGAATAAAGGTTTACAAAGTGCTTCACATGTTATCTAAGGGTAGTTAGGTGGTGCTGGGGATAGTGTTGGAGTCAGGAAGACTCATCTTCATTAAGTTCAAATTCGGCCTCAGACCTTACTAGCTGGGTGACTCTGTCACCTAACCCTGTTTGCCTCAGTTTCCTCACCTGTAAAATGAGCTGGATAAGGAGATGGCAAATTACTCTAGTATCTGCTGAAAAAACCCCAAATGCGGTCACAAAGAGACACGACTGAAAATCTGAAAAAAAATGTATCACGTTATCTGATTTGATCCAATTACCAGCAGGAGGGCTAGGGGCTCTTATTATCCCCATTCTTCAAACAAGCTCGGAGACTTAAGTGAGTTGCTGAGTTGCCCAGCGTCACACAGTTGGTCGGAGACAGGATCTGAATCCGGGTCTTTCCAGGCCACCTGCTCTAGACCCCGTCACCGTAACTTGTGACCAGCGGGCTGGTCACCTGACACCCTCGGTTTACCAAGCCCGGGACGCTAGATTCCAATGGAAGCGGCCCGGAGCTAAAGGCGGTGTCTCTTTAGAGGACTCAGCCCGAGTTCCCGGAAAAGCGCCCGTTTAAAAAAAAAAAAAGTGGGTGGGCCTAAAATGGAGCCTGTCTTGCTACTGCGCATGCTCACCTCGCCGAAGCTGGCGAGCGAGTTTCCAGGCTGGCACGCGGAACTCAGCTGACTAGAAGGGAAGGGAGTTACTTTAGCAAGATGGCGGCTCAAGAGGGGGCCGGAAGTGGATGCGACGGTGGCGCTCCCTCGACCGGGGCTATGGAGAGGGTGCTGCCTATGTTGTTGGTGCCGGTTCCCGCCGAGGCCAGAGCGAGGCTGGGGCCCCGGGCCCGGCTACACCGGGAGCAAGAGGCGCTGGGCAGCCTCACGGCCTCAGGCAGCCTCCAGCTTCTGTCGCTAGCACCAGGCGGCCGCGGCGGGAATGGCTGCAGCCTCGCGGGCCCCTTCCGGCAGTAAGTTGGGGACCTCAGGCCCGTCTCGCTGCCTCCCTCTAGACCCCCGGCCCTGAGGCCCTTCCTGAAACCTCCGGGGTGCCTTGGCTCGAGACTTCCACCTGGCTAGATAGAATGGAAGCTCTTTGAGGGCAGGGATTGCTACACACTAGGCGCCAAATAAATGCTTGTTGCTAGATTCGGTGCCAGGAAGAGGTGCTGAGTGCTGTAGGCGTCCTGGGACACTCCCCCCACACCCCCAACACACACTTTGGCCTCCACTGACCCACATCTTCGACCGTTTTACTCTTCTGGGGGGAGTGGGGCTCGAGTGGAACCTTTTTTTTTCTGGTGGTTTCCGGAGTTCTTGTTCTTCCTACTCCTTGTGAAACATATTGCAAGAAGCCCTAAAGAAATAACCCCCGGAAGCACAGATTTAATTCTGCTGCGAAGCGTTGATTAAATACGTATTCGACTTAAGTACTACTAAAGTACTCAAGATACAAATAGGAAAATAGCTCCTGCCCTCATGAAGTTTACGTTCTAATGGGGCACCTTGGTTCTCTTACTTCAGAACCAGGGCTCTTTCCACTGTCCTGTAGTGAAATACGTACAGAGAATGAAGTTTTAAATGTATAAGAAGTAATTTTTAACTATGTTAAACGATCTACGTTTGCTTTCTCTTTCTTTCCCCTCCCCCATATTAGCCAGTTTCCATTTTTAAATGCCAAAATGTGTTATCTTTAATGATCATCTTGTCCCTTTTAACACGTAACTACTTGTCAGTTCATTCATAAAGAGGTATAGAGTTGTGCAGAGTCATGAAGACCCAGGCTTCAAATCTCACCTTTGAAATTGTTTTGTTATTGGGCAGCTCACTTATTTACTTGTTCCCAATTCTGCAGAGGGGAATCTGGTTTATGGTCCAAATTTCTTTTATTCATTCCTTAAACAAGAATTTATTTTTTTGTACCCAATACTCTGTGCTTTGAAGGATACCAAGGAAACTGAAGACACAATGCTTAACCATTTCGAGGCTTATAATTAACTGAAAGGGAAATAATTATAGAGCTAGGCATCTTATATAAATATAGCACCAAAGCAGAAAATGCTTTCTCAGAATAGGAGAAGGGCTAGGGAAGACCTATAAGAATGGAATTATGAACAAGACTTTATAATAATGAACCATTCATCCAACTGTAGCAACAAATATTTCACAGGTCTGTCATTATTCCTTTCATCCACACAGATTTAGCCAGTATTACTTCCACACACCTAAAGTGTGACTCATCTATATTTTAAATAAACAATCAATATGGGTTCTTGTAGGCAAAAAAAATTCATCACCAGGTGATTAATCCAAGATCTATAAGCTTCAGAGATTTTCTCACAGGATTATTCTTTAAGTCTTTCTAACTTTGTAGGACCTGCTAGATAAAACTTGTGAGCTCGGAGAGGAGAACTTTAGTGGAGATAA